ACGAGTCGCGCTACTCCGCAGGAAACCGTTTAGCCGCGGGACGGGTGTTTCTACGAAACGATTGCTGACTTTGAGACGCGTCCCGGTGCATGCGCCGGCCTGGACGCCGGCTCGTCCCGGTGTTTATGGATCCCTTCCGTTACCATCGATCTTCCGCGTTCTGCCGCGGCCACGAGCGCAACGAGCATTGTTCTAAAAGCAACAAGGATGAACCGGCATGCATATACCGGTGCGAAACAGCGAAACACGCCCAGCGTTGATCCTGCCGCGGGTTATCGTCCTGGTATTAATGCCTTTCAGGCCCCGCCCGATGACCATCGTCACCGCGTTATAATTGAATGAAGATATACCGGGGTTAGAGAAGGAGGGAGAGGTGGATAGATGAATAGATAGATGGGTGGATAGATAGATAGATAGAGGAGAATCGAATATACATGTATCTAATCCTGGGGTCAGAAACGCTTGGAATATACAGTAATGATACGTAATTGTTATCGGATGGCTGAATCGACCCCCCGCGCGCGCGATTAATATACATAGTTATTTGAATATATCATGGCAACGAGACAGGGGGAGAAATTAAAATCACAGTGGCGAGTAAGAACGACGCAAATGAGAATCGGAATTCGGAAGAAATTCACGGAGAAACTAAAAGTAATGTGGCGGAACGGGAGAAATAGTAAATGGCAGGCTAATTAGAGCTAGATGTTGTATATTAGAAACTGAGCGCGTCGCGCGTGGAAAAATAAGGATTCTGATAAAAGCTAAGAAAGGAAAGGAAATGTTGTTAAAAGAGGAAAAGGCAGTCGTGAGAAATTAAGAGAGCGAAAGGGTGAGAGAGAAAGCGGGTCTTATCACTCGCGCGATCGAGGTATAATAATAATAATATTTGCTTGTCGCTCGGAATACATATACCTAACAATTTGACGATATGACGCTTGTAATATAAATTACGTGTAAAAGTGATGCACGACCAAATAGTGCAGCGACAATTTTACAGTTTTAGAGTTGCTATTATCATCATATATCATCTGAACGGGCACTCCTACCCCCCTGTTGAAGAAATAAAAATAAGAAAGCAAGGGCTAAGAGTGTACATAATTAAAGTTCTGTTTTTTACGCACGATCACGCGATGCACACGAAATGCCGCCTACCGGAGAGTAGAGAAGGAAGATGCCGAGCGGAAAAGAAAAATCGTCCGGATTAAAACCGCGACAGCTTTTGGATCTCCTGGACGAAAGGAGATACTTCTCTCTGAGACGTGCGCGTCGGATTCTTTGAATTAGCTACGAGAAAACACGGCACTTCATTAGAAAAGCCTATTGCCGTCGACTTCGTCTTCGTCGGCTGAATTCCGAACGTATAGACCGCGTATAGAGAATCTCGGACGACTCGGCCGGAGAACATACCTCGCGCGAAGGCGACGGGGTCGCGATAACTATCGAACACGTGGGGAGGGAGGGGGGGGGGGAAGCGAAGTTCGCCGCGTAGTACGAACTTCCGGCAGTCGGATCTTCCGGGTGAGCGGTAAACGCCCGTAGTCGGTAATCGATAACGTTCAGCGACGACGGGCACAGGTAAAACGAGTTTCGGTAAACTCGGCGATACTCGGTAAACGGGTAGCGGCGGGTGCCGGGTGTAACCCTATAGGAAACCTTCCGCGAGTTTCACTTTGCAGTACTCCGTTACCCCGGGCCGGTCTCGTCGTCCGCCTCGTAGTTCGCCTCGTCACGGATACACACGGACGGTGTAACACGGGGTCCACGATGATGCTGCTGAGGCGCGTTGCAACAGGCCGAGCGAGCGGCCGGTGCACACGCGATAGATGCGCCTATCGGGCGAGTGTGAATGCACTTATCGCGGTCTATAATGCGAGAGCGACTCCGTGACCTTATTCTTTCTCGCATGGCGAAGTGTCACGCTCATCTCCAGCTACGAGAGTAGGCGACCGATCGACAGATCGACCGACCGGTTGCCGAAGAGAAAATCCTCTTTTTCCGCGCACTTTTCCGCGCGCGCTCCAGTTCCAGAGACTCTCCGCTCGGCCACGTACTCCTCTGCGGCAGAAGCCGCAAAACGTTGCATAATTGAGACACGCTGCGGAAGTTCGTGGTGTCGCCCACCGACCCCTCCTCCCGTGGCGTTCTCCCTCGACGCACCGGGCGAGATCAAAGTTTCAAGAGCGTTTTTACCTGGAGCTTTGCTCGGCCGTCCGCCCGTCGTGCGACTCGTTTGAATCCTCCGTCCTGAATTATTCGCAAGAGTCACAATGGCCGCTTCGACGACGCGCGTAATTCATTTATAATAGATTCATCGCGAGACCTATAAATCTCCCCCCTTTTTTACACGGGGGGGGGGGGCGAACAACGATGATATTAGAGATCGAGAGACCAGAAAACTGAATATCCCACGGGACATTTGAATATTTCACGGACGAAATCCAAGAATATACGCCGGATACCTGCGCGTGCGAGCGACGATTCTCCGAAGCGGCCGTTGTAATTTACATGGTCGCAAATCGCTTTCGCAATTTCGCTCGGACGTGTCCGGTCGTTTTTTATCACAAGCGTCGATCTGCGCGCGCGAGAGAGAGAGAGAGAGAGAATTCGCGAACCGAGATCGCAATCACGGCCATTCGTTTCGTTAAGGCAAACGCCGCGCCGTGTCCGAGAGTCCTTTCCTCGTCCATCGACACCGTGTCATCCGATAGCCGCAGGATATACGTGCCTAGCCGAGATGTATCGATTGCTGCTCGCGCGTCTCGCTTTTGTACGAGTTCGCTGGCGAGACGAGGTGCGGTCGTCGCGGCCGCTCCTGAAGAAGAGAGACGGAGAGAGAAAGAGAGAGAGGGAGCGAGAAAGAAAGATTCGAACACGGGGATGCACTTCGATGCACGGAGGGCTGCTGGAAGATAGAGGGAGGGTAACGCGGCCGGAATTAATGCGGAGTGAGTAAGCGGGCTGGTAGTCGCGCGAGGGAAAAGGGATTTATGCACCGCCAGCGTTGATAAAATATATCCCGCGGCGCTGGAGATATATATACCTCTTCCAGTGTTCGTTTTCGTGCGCGTGTGCGAACTCGCGTGTGCGCCGTTGCAAGTTTTCCTCGCCGTGCCGCCTCTGGGACCGTCCTCGCGAGCGCGCGCAGGATCGATAATTAATATAATTAATAATTATATTCTTATCGGGCCGGATAATCGTGACAATGAATAACCGGGCGCAAACGAGGATGAGTGTATATCCCATTATTATCGAGCGCCACGTGTATTTTTATCCCCGCGTGAGACTCCGGCGCGGCCACTCCGGCGGGATCGTAAATTGTAAAAAGGACATGTCGACGTGCGCAAGCGGAATCGTCTTGTGGAGTGCAATTAACGTTTTAGCACGACCGTCAAAGAAACGGATCCGTCCCGCGCCGGTATCCGAGAGAGAGAGAGAGAGAGAGAGATGAGAAAGAGATCGCGCAGGTGGGGAAACGGATGGAGAAGGAGGCGAGAGGAAAAGACGAAGACAGAGAGAGTGTGTGTGTGCGAGAGAAAGAGAGAGAGAGAGAGAGCGAGTGAGACGGGGCGCGCACTTAGGGCCTTTCGTCACGGGGACGAGACGAGAGGCGAGAGAGGCCGCGGTCAATGGCTGCGGTATCCGCAGGTTCAAGGAAACCGGGCTGGTCCGATTCGACATCGCGTCGTTCCCGGGGAAACCGAACAGGTGACGCGCCTGTGAAAATGCAGGTTAATGGAATGCCGTCTAAGTAGCCTCTCCGCGCTGCAGCAACTGCATACGATTACCAACTGGATCCTCGACGGAGACTTCCACGCTTCGCCGATCCGATGGAGAACCATGTCGCCCTCCTATCGAGGATGTTATATCCGACACGTGTGCGGAATTTATCGTAGGACATTTTGCGCATACGCGCGATTTATTCTGTTTCGCGATTCGCGAGAGTAAAAATCCTAAAAACGCGACATTGAACGTGCATTAAGTTTGAAAATTGCTCCGGTCGCTACTGCAGTCTCTTCGTCTACAAACCGCTAATAGAGGGAAAGTTCATTCCAAAGAAATTACACACACACACACACACACACATTAATTTGTATCATCATTATATATTCTCGAAAGAAACCTCATTAGCATAAATATTAGAAAGTTTCCGGATATAAATTAAGATTCTCTTGTATTGCGTTTTTCGAATTTGTTCCAGCTTAATTAGCGCGTGTAAGAGATATTAGAATACGAGATCGGAGTTCTGTATAAAAGAATTATCGAGAAGAAGAAGATCGGATCTTTTGCTCTGTCGTCACTTCGGCAACGTCGAATGCGAAGTAATTACTCGCCGAAACAACGGCGCAGCCTGATTACGAATTCGGGCGCTTTTGAATGCCGATTGTTCCTGGCGCGTTGATTCCAAACAACGAGGCAACAAATCTCATTGTTACCGGGTCGTTTCGTAAACAACGCGATTCTTTTCATAACCCAATCTCTGCGGCGGGCCTGTCGATCATCGCGATGTACGGAGCGATGATTTTCTCATCGGCAGCTCAACTTCGCCAGCCTCGGCGACGGAGGTTGCGATCGAGCCGTCCTTTTGCGAAGCTGAAAAGTCCGATGCCGGAACTTTTCGAAATCGAAACGCGATTTCCCGAGGGCCGAGAGCGAGTTGGACGCGAGGAGATAAACGCCGTTGTACTTCGCGAGCGATATCTGAGCGAATTCTCGCCGATTGATTCGCATAACCGGTCTCTCCGTGGGCGCCTCGATTTCGATGGGAATCGCGACGGGAAGCGAAGGGCCGCTTCATACGCCTCTATCTATCAGCCCACCGCATAGCAACGAACTCATCGATCGGCCTTTTCGAAAGGCCCGCGAGGGACCACGAGAAACCCCAATCGCGCATGGAGAGACACGGGGAAGCGCGCTCGTCGGCCGCCGCGGCGTGCGTCGCGCGCGTCTCGAGTATCGATCTAAAAGCTCTCTCTCTCTCTCTCTCTCTTTTCCCATACCGGTGCATGAAGGCGGCAGTTGACATGTTACTATCCATGGGGTGGTTCCATAAATCCCGGCTCGGCCCCGCCAACGCGACCCTCTCGACACTCCCGTGCACGCTCCCAGCTTCCCCTCCGCTCGGCGGTGTATAAACCGTGCACGAAACCGCGACGACGACGACCTCCAGGGAGTCCGCGCGACGACGTGGACGCGGACGACCGAGCGCGGCTGGCAACAACGACCGGAGTTCGTTCGCCGAGGACACACCTGCGCCGACACACACCAGGCCAGGTTCGGACCGTCCGCTAGACTGAAGTCAGAATGCGCACTGGTCGGTTTCCATGGTGGTGGGCCGCGATGGTGGTGGTCGCGCGCTGCTGGAGGAGAGAGAGAGAGAGAGCTGGAGAGGAGAACTGGAGGTGGTGTGACGGTTGCTGGTGGTGGTGGTAGTTGCAGCGGCGGCGAAGGAGGTGTACGCATGTGTGTGTGTGTGTGTGTGTGTGTATGCGTATGTTTTGTGTGTTCGGTAGCTGCGAGGATGGTGGGGGTTTTGACAGAACCGTCTGCGCCGGCTGCGCGTTCTCCTCTCCTGATGGCGATGGCACAGACCTTAAGGCGCTCTGTATGCGCATGCCATGGTGTTGGCCGAGAAACACCCATGGAGACGCGTGCTGCTGTTAGAATCGAGACTGGAAATCGTCGCGCGCAGGACGACGGTGAATCTGCAACGCCGTGTGCGCTGATCGTGCGAAATAACACCTCGGCGATGACGACCGTCGAAAGTCGCCGCGAAATTGACCCCGCACTCGGCGTATGAGATCTTTTGTTTCCTCGCGATTGTGAAAAAAGCCGTACGACCTTGCTGAATTCCTCTGGGTGAAATCTCGTTCGAATTAGAGCGAGCGTTCACTCGTAGAGAGTGAATTCTTCACTGTGAATCGTCGTGTGGGTAATTTTACTTCGGAATTGAAGAGTCTGACGTGTCTGATCCACCATTGCAGGAACATGCGCAGAAAAAGAATTGGTATCATTTCAAGACTCATATTCTCTTATAGGCAAGAATCTTATGTGAGGATGAAACTTGTTCTTACATAAAGAAATTCTATATAGTTCACACTGAAAATATATTCATGTTATTCTGGAATAATTTTCATGAGTTGGAGGGGAAAAATATTGGGTAGGAAGAACGATATCTTCAAACGGTAAAAATTGTACCAGTTTAAAGATATCATTCTTCCTATCCCAAATATTTTTTCCTCTCAATGGAAAAAATAATTCTTGATTAACAAGAATATGATATTCTTAGTAGAATTATGTACAATTTTTTTTATGTAAGAGCAAGTTTTACTTCCTTATAAGATTACATATACTTTCTTATATAAAGTCTTAGGTCTATCCAGACAATCTTGCATAGTCACATAATGCATATGCAGAAGAAAATTGACCAATCATGTTTCTAATATAGAAGACATCCTTTTTTTCGCACGGATTATGATTATGATTGGTCGATCTAAATTATATAGTGTTAAATTAACACCAACTTTTTCCCCGTGTATCCACTCCGATCGATTGAAACATTCGCTCGTGTAGAGTCAGAATCCATTATAAACTCGAGCGAAACATTCACTCTTGCGATTTCTTGCGGTTTCGAGTGGCGGTATTATCTCTTCTACTGAAAATACCGCTACTTTCCACTTGTTTTAAGTGAGATTTCACTCCGAGGGATTTCGAAAAGCGAACATATTCGGCTCGACCGCGGGGAATTCTTTCCCCTCTCTCATCGAGAGAGTTCCTGTCGCCGTGTGAACGATTGAAAAATCTCAAAACCGTCGATTTGAGTCGCCGCGATAATTTCGTCATCTATTGCCGCCGGATGAAAATAATGCATCCCCGGTAGTTTCATCACGAAGGCGCGGTCGAGATGCAGCTTCTTAGTACATTGTCGTGTCTCAGCGTGGGTTTTCCATCGACTCGCTCGATTGTCCCGAGGCGGGAGAGGGAAAAGTGGGAGCGATTCAGCTTTGTCCTTACGAGGGTCGGGAAATGTTGGCACAGAAGTCCGTTGAAAATTGCCATTTTTTCGGCCTTCCTTCCGGTCGTGCACGTTCCACCCCGCCGCCTCCGGTGCGTCCGGCATTCTCATCGCCGAGCGTTCCCTCTATTCTTTGCCCTTCACGACTCTTTTCCTCCCGTCCCCCACCACCGCTGTCCTTCGCATCCGCCGCGGAACGCTTTTTCGCACGAGCCGGTGCACGATTTTCGCGACGGCGAAACTCAAATATTTGCCAAGCCTTTCACAAAAACGGCGAGCTTCCCAGCCGTTTTGTATTAAAGGGGGGAGGAAGCTGGCGCGGCAGTCGAGAGACTTCGGGAGATATTTTTTTACGCTCTATTATTCCCCACGTGCACTCTCGAGCAGTTCCATCTCGTCCTCCGGCGGATCACCCGTCGATCGAGAACGACGACAACGACGACGACGGTGACTTACGTGAGCGACAAACAAGTTCCCCTTCGCGAATTTAGGTTTGCGCGGCGCCCGTTCCAACACTTTGCGCGAGCGACATCGATCGCTCCCCGCCGGTGTTTGCCGGGAGACGTAGTTACAATGAAGCTAACTCGCATAATTGTTCGGTTATTCTCGGGCTAATTGCGTTGGCCTGTTCGTCGTAGCACTCCTGCGCGCGCTCGCGCGGCGGAGTGAAATTCAATTTATGGACGAGAGCGCTGCAGAGAGAGAGAGAGAGAGAGAGAGAGCAAAGTGGCCCGGAGTCCTCGGTTTCACCTGGACGACTCCTCCAGTTTCGTCGCATTCGGATTCAAAGCTCGAGACGAAATCAATACGCAGATACTACCGCGCGCGCTACTACCTTAGCTATTTTCCCCGTTCCCCACACACGCCCGCTTCCGGTGATAAGTTCCCCGGCAAAGTGTAGCAAAGTGTGCCGGAGAAAAGAAAAAGGGAGGGTAGAAGAGCGGGAAGAAAAAGGGGAGAAGATATTGGCAAACGTTGCGAACCGGCGAAATTAGATTTTCCCGCTCTTTAATCTCCCTCGGCAGCGGAGACGGCGAAGTCCGGCGGCATTCCGTGAAATAACTCGCCGAATGACGAAAAATCAGCGCCGGCAAATTTTCCCGGCCGTCCACTACGGTTACGCCCATCGACGTGGTTCTTGATTATGCGTATCCTGAAGATGTAGAGATACATACAGTTTTCCTAGACACTCGTCCAGTTACTATCTAGTATTAAATGCATTTTCACCAGTTGCAATAATACAGCGTAGGAAAATGGACGTTTCATTTTTTATTTACATTATTTCATCAGTTCTCGCCTTAGATTTTACCTTGTAACTCAAGTGAAAATTTCGAGTCTATTTTTGATCTACGATCGAATTACTACTTCATACTAAAAGAGGGGAGGGGTTATTTCCATCGATAAAGATTATTACTGTTATTATTATTATGACGCTCCGAGGACGCCACGTCGATAAAGATCGAAGCGCGCGATTCATCTCAGAGAGACAATAGAAACATTTGCGGCTGGCGTTGCGCCGATGAAGACGTCGAATTTATTAAATATCGATACAATACGCGCATAATCGCTCGGTGCGAATCATCGGGCGAGAGAGCAAGAGAGAGAATTGGACAGGAGGTCGGAGAGAGAAAGAGAGAGAGAGAGAGATAGTGAGTTGGTACGAACAAAGAAAAGAGAAAAAGCATTCCAGAAGGACGGCGCTCATCGCGCGATCGGCGCGCGGAACGGGCAGCGTTATCCGCGCGGGGTATGTAGCGATTCATTCGTCATTGTCTGCCGTCCCTTTGTAAAGTTATACGAGGATGGCTCTCGCGGCGTATGGGCTCATTCACCGGCGAATCGTTACAAGTGTGCGCGGTACACGCGCTCACATTGTCCGCGATATACCTGTGTATAGGCGTTCCGTTCCGTTTCGGAGCTGGCCGACGACTATCGAGCTCTCGAGAGCGAGCTGGCAGGAGCGCGATAACAGCACGCGTCGTCGGTTCACGTTGTCGGCTAATCAAGCAGCCGAACGCGAGGAACAACACGAGCGACCGATCGAATTCGGCGCGGGAGGGAACGACGCGAGGACACGTCCGGAACGGCGTAATCACGCGGAAAGTCAGGATCCACTTCATTTATCGTTCACGTGGGTAGAGCGGGAGGAACGTGCGCCGGATGCTCCGTTTGCCCTCTTTCAAGCCGTCGCGCGCGTACAGGGTGTCTGAGCAAACGAGAGGAAAAGAGGGTCGTGTGGGAGGTGAAGGAAAGGAGAAAAAAGAAGAGCGCAGGAAAAGAACGGGGGTGTGTGCGTCGGTAGAGACGTCGGTGGGAAATTACGCTCGCTGGCATGATTCGATGAAGCGTCCGCGAAACGGCAGGCAGGCACGCCTCGTTGCGAGGACATGCGTAGGGCTGACGCACGCGCTGGGGTGAATAAACCTGAAGGGGTAGCTATGGCGAGGGAGAAAGGGAGAGGAAGAGAGAGAGAGAGAGAGAGAGGGAGAAAGAGAATGAAGGAGGGAGAGAAAGTCACGTTGTTGATACACTCGCTAGCACGCGACCTCGTCGGGCGTCACGTCGATTTGGCAGGCGGAAGCTTTAAAGTAAAAGTGCCCGGACACGTACTTGTCACTATCACTGTCGCTTTTCGAAAGGCTGCACGGAAAAGGAGAATATACACATATAAATGTGTATATTCTATGTTGAAAGTTTAACTGTTCATATTTAATAACTAAACGATAAGAATACCCAGGCATTGGTTTACTTCGACTTTACCTGCCTCCGTGCGATCACGTCCGCAAGATCGGATTTAAAACCCCCTCTAGTCCGCCAGCTGTCCGGCTGCATTAAAACGCGCGTCGTTCTCTGGAAGTCTTTTTACGCGAGATGTAACATCTCCACGATTTACGCTTGAAATGTGAAGAGCGGAGCGTAGATCGGCCGTCGGACTCGTCGACTTCGCGAAGTAACGCGGCAAGAGACGGAAGATTTCACTGCGAATTACCGTTGTTACTCGCACATCGTCGCGCGGTCGACTAATTATTTCGTCGGTCGAGCCGAGCGATAATTGATTTTTCCCTGGCCGAATTTCTCGCAAGTTCACGATTCGAGCGATCGATTCCCGCCGTACTGTACGCTTCTCAATGGTCGGCTCGTTTAATTTTGTCCGCGGGGGCGGCCCACGCAGCTCTCGAAAAGGGTTCCGATTGTACGCAACGCGTCGATATGCAAATCATGACGATCGATAATCGGCGGAAGAATGGGAAGGGAATTGCCGAGCCACGCGGAGACGAGACGCCTAGATCACAGGGGACCCGTCGTGCTTTAATGCATCGAGTCGCGGCCGGTCGCGACGGAGGGCCGAATGAGAGCTGCGCAAACACACATACACACACACACACACACAACGGGGGCCATTAATCCGCAAGGGACGCAGCTCGCAGCGCCGCGTCACGTGGAGAAAAGCGCGTAATACCGGCAATTTCGGGAAATTATACTGCGGGACTTCACGGTGCGACACCGTCAAATTCACGATCGCTCAAGGTACGCGTACAATTCCGTTCGAAAGACGCTTGTCCTCTCCTCTCGCTGTGAACGGGGAAAAATTGAATCATACTTCTGAGCGAGTTAAATCGCCGCGCAAACAGTGCGCGACGCAAAAAGGAAGCGACGGTAGATTAATTTTTCACACGTCGCTTCGCACGTGCGACGTATGTCGACAGCGATTGTGTCGAGTGAGAGAGAGAGAGAGAGAGAGAGAAAGGGGACGGGGAGGTTGCAGAATACGTAATATGCGTATCGCATTTATTACGGCACATACACAAGGTACACGATGCGTGTATCACACTAATGACACATGCGGCTAAGCGAAGTCTTAAATACCTATGCGATTTATGTTCGAAAATATGGAGTAACGGCACGATCGCCGTACGTGTCTTACGAGATAATGTACGTACGTAACAAAATAGCGTGACAACTGTATGTACACTTGGCTTCAAAACGCTTCGAACGCTTTCGCTCTTTCGAGAGAGGAAAAGAGGTGCGTTCAAATCATGTTGAAACCGAGTTACCGATTAGATAGAGATTCTTCGTTGTTTTGATTATCACGGTCCTAATGGAGTGCATTTAGCGACGAGCGGCTCCGCCGACGATGAAACTGCTGTGAATCCCCTGAGGACCTCGAAGACTCGTCCCACTTCCCCGTTCGTCCCCTTAGCGGATGACGGGGAAAGACTCACACCGTGGAATTGTCCCTGCGTCATTCTATCATTTTGAAGAGCGCGCACGAGAATATCATGCCGAGGAACTGCAATGGAATTCAGAGTTCAAACAAACATAACGAATCTCCCCTCTTGATAAATACAGCGTGTTTGAACAACCGGCTTGCGAAATGTTAAATTTATTAATAATATCCTCCGATACAAATATAAATATTAAACGAGAGCAATCGAGTGAAAAGAGCCAATAAGGGTCTTTGCACGGGCTCTCTCATTGGCTCTCCCCGCTCGATTATTGCTGATTGAGTATCGACGGGGCCTTTTCCGTCTCTCTTCCTTCCGATTCAAGGAGCTCCTCAGCCACCAAATGAGCCGAGGAGGAGAGGGAGGGGGAGAGATGGCAGTAGCGGTAAAATGAATTCAATCGTAATGGCGGCTACCGGCTGCCGTGTTGGGTTTTACAATGACGGGGCTTCCCTTAGATTTAACAACCGTGGTGGCGGGGGGAGGGGGAGGGTGGAGAGGGATCGATTGAAAAATGCCAACTGCTCCTTACCATGAGGCATGCGACTGCGATACCGGCGCCACCCATAACGGCCGCGTGCTGCTGCATATAAATTTGCGTCCCGTTGATGCAACCGTCCACGTAAGCGTTGGAGGGATTTACCGTGTCCGGACCCGCGTTGCAGTGGAATCGCTGGAAAAAAGGGGAGTCGAAACAGATCGGACGATCGCTCGCTCGCGACCGAGAAAGCCGCGATCGGTCGGTGAAAGCGTGAGAGGATAGGGCGGTTGTAGGACTCGCGGCCGATTAAGTAATTGCGGCCCAATTGGCGGTCTCCGACTCGCGAAATCGGCGAGTCGTGAGCCGCCCAATGTCTCACGACGGCGCATCGAATAATTGCTGGCGTCGATTCGCTAATCGCCATTTGAATGCGGCTCACGAGGTCAAAAGTGCGCCGGCGTCGAGGCTCGCGCCGTTTGGTGCGCGTTGAATTTCGCGGGGTATTAACTGACGCGATGAGGAGCCGGGAGTCGTTAAGCAAGTCGGCGAGCGAGCTATCGTAATCGTCGCCGCGTGTATAAATCGCGCATCATGAGACGCACGTACGCAAATCGCCGTCGTCGTTACTCCGGGCGTCGTCGCGCGCCGCTCAGTTAACGATTTCGAATCAAACGAGGAGTCGGCGGATTTTTTTTACCTGACCGGGCTGAATCTCTCGACAGCAGCTCTGCGGCACGCTAAGTCCGTAGCTTCCCCAGTCCCTCCAGCTGTGAACGCCGCAACAGTGGAGCTGAATTCGTAAAAGTCGGAAATTATTAATTACCTTCCGGGAACACCTTTTGAACCGTAATTCGGTTCGCTGGGGAAAATCGAGCTTTCTCGTCGAGGATTGGTCGTCGGGAAGGTGAGGAGATTAAAGAGAAATACGACTCCGCAATTTTATTATGACTGTTACTTTGTATACTTGTAGAAGGCACTTGTTGGAGAGAAGACTGCCAGTGTGTATTGCATGTGAAGTGTGGGTAATTTATATCGTCGAGGTCTGTGCGCGATAGTCGCGGCAATATGCGGGTAATATTGCGAGGGAGAGATCAGGAGATGAAAGAAGCGCCGTTTTGTAATTTTGTAACGATTCTTATACTTGGTATGCTTGTGGAAGGCATTTATTTGGCGAAGAGAGGACTATGAGTGCACGGATAAAGGTGTGGGCAATTATACTACGAGGTTTGTACACGATAATACGCAGTAATACGCGGGCTTGCATCGCAATGGGGAATCGGATCAAGGTGATGTGTCTAATAAAATTCTCCGAAGCTACTTACTGTCGATTGCGTGGTGTCCCAGGCATCCCGGATGGATTTGCGGGTATCGTAAAGTCGGAGCGAGCTTTTCATCTCTCGGTCGACCGTGCTCAGCAATTTTTCGCGGAAAACGTAACCGAGGACGCCGCCGATGAGCATCGTCACGAACAGCAAGAACAAAATTATGAAGTACTGAAAACATAAAACGCACAATCAACGGCACGCGGTGGAATCACAGTATTATTCCCGGCTGAATTCGAGAACGGGACTCTCCCAGACGGGAACTCGACTCGCTCGACCGGCAAGAGAGATACGAAAATTTCGAAAGCGAGATCTCGACTGACCCAGTTTCGACGTGCAAACGAAACCTCGAAACTCACCGTCAAGAGCATACACTTGACTTCTCGTGCTGCACCGACGCATCCGAAGAAGGCGATCACCGCCACGATGATTCCGCCAACCAGCAGGACGTAGACCGACCCAGTCAAAAGATCGTTTCCCACAAGCTCGCCTATCCACGGTACCTTGTCAACCAACGCCCACACGCCTAAGCCTGTCACAATTAGCCCGCCGATCTGAAATACGAATCGACAGTGTCACGACAATTTTCGCATTTCCACTAACAAGATTATATACTTTGTGAAAAAAGTACTTGAAAATTTATCTGTGGGATATAAAATTTATTTCACGGAAACAAGGCTTATTTCTGTAAAATAAGATTTGGTCCTGCAAAATAGACTTTATGTTCCACAAATAAATTTTTGAGTACTTTTTCCTCAATGTACACTCATAAGTCAAGCTTAAAAGTCTATTCGTTTTGTAGAATTTGTCCTTTTTGTACTTATCTTCTGACAAGCATTTCAATATCTACATTAAAAATTCACGTTTATACTCACTGTTGTTTATCCTAAGAGAGTTTATTTTGAATAAATATATAAATTTGTAACAAAACGCTGCGATTTTTTAAACAGAATCAATTTTTTGGATCTGTATCACCACTCCCATTTCTCTTCGACTCATTTTACAGTGACGCCATATTTTTGTAAACAACGTAATAAATATTTCCTCAGTGATAAATATTTCCTAACTTTGATCTAAAATCGATTGAACAATACTTTGGCGAATGTTAAAATCGTTAAGTTTTCAATTTTGAATATCGATTATTATTAAGTTATTGTACAGAATCAAAGTGGGAAGGAAGCATAATATCACCTTCTGCTATACTTTTTCTTTTCAGTATACGAGAACGAATACTCACGAAGATGACGAAGTTCGTAAAGAACAAGGAATACTTCATACAGCGGCCGCAGCCGTCCATCTCGCCGTATCCCATCCCGCTTGCCTTGCGTTAATCTGTTGACAAGCCGATGAACGAGACATTAGCAAAACAAATGATGAAATTCCACGGTCAGGTACTCTGAAATCTAACGCGCGGTGTAAAGTTCCGCGCGTTAAAGATTTCATGTTTTACGTAGAAAACGCTTTTACCGTAATTGCCGTGTGAGTTAATCAATTATTTTATTCCCCCTTATCTTAGACGTAATAATATTGAGTGGCACGAAGGTCACCAGCGGAACGCAATTATCTGATTTTTCATCTCGGTCACGTACAACGCTCATAATTATGCTCGCGCGCTCAATGACATCAGACTTATGTTTGATCCAGTTTGCCGGTACCTTGACCATAGCCCTGACCCTAAATATATCAACCGCCTAAATGTTTACTTAAATTTTTCTCCAGACTCAAGCTACTCGCACATTCATCATCCTGGAGAGGCAATTCTCTATAATTCGGCAGGATCAAATCTCTGATTTAATTAAACGCGTCGTCCCTTCTCCTCCTCTCTCTCTCTCTCCCTCTCTCTCTCTTTCTCCCCCTCTGACCTTTAGAACCTGTGCTCACTGGTCCGAGACGTCTCGTGTTCACGAGAGCCAGGCGGAAAACAACGCGAACGTGACGAACGTGAATTTTCACGGCTCGGGAAACACCCGCGAGATCGACTTTTTGTTTTCAAGCGAAGATACTGAACACAGGGCTCAATTACTCGCTATTGTTTATCGAACGCGTAATAGAGCTCGTTGCCGATACGTGTTGCAGCGTTCCCCAGCGGATAACATGAATATTTATACCACAAGGCGCCGGATCACAGACGGGGATGATTTCCGCTGATTTCTGCGCGAAGCTCGCCCGATGACCTCATTTTTTGAGGGACGCACTTCCACCTGTCGCTCGCAGCTTTGTCGACGCGCGGGCCCGCAATCAGCCCGACGACGCAATGCGGCCCCCAATTACGGGCTGGAATTAGGTGGACGCGCGTCGATCGCTATCGCTCGCACAATAACAACGCGTACCGCGTAAGGTTGCGTGTTTTGTAACCGTGTATATAAACGGCCCTCGGCGCGGGGACTCGCGGTCACGCACCGGCGGGCCACCTCGAAAACAAGTTACATCGGCGGAGAGAGAGAGAGAGAGAGAGAAAGCGACCGGTGTGTTCCCTTCGCATTAAGTAATCCACGGCCAGTGCGAGGCACAGGTAAAAATGACGCGACACGCTCGCGCGATCTCGGAGCGGAGAGCTCGAGGAGAGTGACGTCACACCGCTGTGCCGCTTCCTCCGTGTCTTGTATTGCGAAACGCTTAGATCACTTGGTCTCTCTTCTTCGTACTACGAACTAGCGTCCGATTACACTCCTCGCTTCGCCACGAGACGTCCTCTGAGATAATCCGACCTCATCTATGCGGCGACCCAGAAAACTCAGGCGTTCCCTCGCTCGGGGATCTCGAATTAACGATCGTCGTCGGCTCCCGCGGGAAGGTCCGCTTCGGAAAAGCGGCTGAGCCATCGGAAGATTTATTCGACCGACGACGCGAGTCCGCTGCGTTTACTCATCACGCTTCGCGTGATTGTTTTGCAATTCAACGGCGCAGAACCGCGAAACCGACGCGTTTCCCGGAGATATTTCCCCGGGCGATTATGCGCGCTCAGTCGTCGGTAAATTATCCGGTCTCAGAGTAGCGATATTGGCGAGGGAGCGTCTCGCGTAGAAACGTATCTAAGCGCCTCCTGACATCATCACTTACACGCGCACCGTCCTGATTATTCAGCGGAATTCTGAAATATATATCGTTCGCGCTCGTCCTATTACGACTCGCCGAGTAATATTCTTTCTTCAAGGCAACGGAGAACACGCAACATTCATTTGCTCATCAAAGCGATATCAACATTTGAAATCAAGGCCTACTCGATTTGATACTTTCACTATAGCTGCAAGTGAAACTGAAAGTTACTGAATGAGAATGAGAGAGAGAGAGAGTAATGTTTGCAGAAAATCAAATGAGGACATTCAAGCGCCTCTCGTGTTTATCCATTCCGCGAGCTAAGAGCTTTTCCCGTGCGCGAGAAATCAGCATCCAGCCTCTCGACGAACAATCGTGTATTTATCTCGCTGGCACGTAGGCGGGAACGTTCCGTGTGTACGCCGCTAAAAATAAACACGGGCTCATACGTACGCGTCGCGCACCTGTATACGATTTCAAGACACTACGCAAAATACTCGAGCGAAAAAGCCGCCGAAAGAAGCGTCGGTACGGCGGGCTTGTTACGCTGAGCGCGAATGAAAATGTGCCGCGATGTATCAAACGTAATGAATGAAACGGTTTAACCGAGGATTTAACTGTGACGAGCGCTTTATTTCCGGGGTTCGTAAGGGAGATACAGCCGGCGAAAACGATGAACGAAAATTGACTAGTCAGGATCTTCTAGTCAAGAATCTTTCTCAGTGTCTCCCAACGGAAGTTTCGATCATCTTGGCGCTGGTAATTAATTGAGAAATTTAAAAAACCTACTTGACTTGCAAAATCGATAAGTTTAATGTCTGAACGTTTCGGCCGTAGGCTCTGATCTGCCTCAGTGAAAATTAGTGGCTGAGAAACGTACGAACGAATTCATTAGATTCATCGACTTTGTAAGTCAAATCATTTTTTTCGTCAATTTCGCAATAAATTATCAACGTCGGTTCTTCCTGGCCTCTCCGAATTAGTCAAGGATTGTACATTCCGAGAGGCTTTTTTATGTTGTCGTTATCATCTTTACTGAGGCTGCTTACACTGGAGAAAACGATTTCTTTGGATATAATAAAATTTCTTTAATTGAAACAAATTTGTCCCTTGGAATAGAGCAAACAAACGAACGTTTGATTCAGCAGGATCGATTGGTTCCTCAAACAATGAATCTTTACGTCGAATAATATATTTCCTTTGTATTTTCATCTAAACACATTACAATGATTGTCACAAGCAAGAAATTATTTAAAACGAACAACACAATGTTAGGAAAATATGAAAGAATTTCTTTTGTTGTTTCACCGAACTGTTCTCCTCGCTGGCCAATCAATTACGTCCCGACGTAGCAACATAGAACAGCGACATAGACCCGACCGCGCTTTTTCGCTGTCGAACCGCGCGACACGTACCCGGTCGTCCACGTTTCGACGGGCTCGCTGGAGACCGACGTTCCAGCATCCGCAGATCCTATCCTGCGACTTTAAACGACAATAACGTTGTCGTCACCCTGTCGTTGCGCAGGTACAACATATGGTATGAGAAGAGCTGCGCAACGACGACGCAACGACAGTCGTCAAAAATTACAGAACAGGCTTATCGGCGTAACGTTGCTCGCGATCGTTGCTCATTATGGAGCACGGCGCTCTTCGTGAACACCATACGCTGCATCGGGAATCGTCGGGGGCACCCGGCTCGCGCGCGACCGGCATGCGGAGCGCTCGCGAGCGTTTTTCGAACGCCGCGCTCGCCGAGCGATTTCGACACCGTCGGGGACGGTTACTCCACGAGGAAGAACCGTGTCGCGAGTGAAATTACCGTCGATAGCGCTTAACGCGGCGAAAAGGTCTGAAATTGCCGCAACGAACGCCGGCCGTTGATAACCCGGAACTCTATCGACACGCGCGCTCGTTGAAGCGTATTCGGACGTACACACTCGCGACAGGAATTACCCGTATTTTTCTACGACTTCCCCATCCATCATTCGTCGTTCGTGAAAAATAACGTTAACGATAAAGGGGGGAAAAGTTTCCACCGTGTGTCATCACTCGACTGATAATTATTCGTGGCCGACTGTAATGTACGTTGATCCGTGTATTGCCTCGATGGACTGGATCGCTTCTAATTACACTTCCCTTCTGATTCACCTTCTTAGAATACACGTCGAGAAGCGGCCCGTCTCCCCCCGGCCCGGCCGAGCAGTAAACGAGCGGTTTGCTTTCACGGCGCGATAAATCGGCGCGTGTTAACGACTTTATTTACGCCAACACGTCTCATCTCGCGCTCCCAGCGTTACGGCTACTTCTCGTCGCGGTGGAACCTCTACTTTTTGCGACGGTAAGCGAGCGAAAGAGGTAGATGGAGAGGAAGAAAGAGAGGGAGAGAGACTCGCGCAAGAGCGTGATGCGCGCGTAAATCGAGCGGCCGTTAGGAATCACAAACGGCGGGAAAGTTCGCCGATGAATCACCGGGTGGCCGCGGCGACATCGGCGGCTATGCTCGCTGCTGTCCGCTGATCTCGACGAGAGAGAAAACCAATATTTCCCCAGGAGGAGAGCGCGGCCGGATAGCTCGCATGGGCCGCCGATCGATTGCTCAACGATCGCTCAACTCACGTTGATCCCGGCGGGCAGGTTCCTTTCTCCGGGCGGCGGCGTGCAGGGTGAGAAAAACAAACGGCTCCTTTCTCCTGTGGGAAGCCGCCCCCGCTGGCAGATGAGTAAAAGATGGGTGATAATAATAACGCTGGCTGGAAAACGCGCGTCCCGGATGGCCCGTACGAACACGGCCTCGCGAGGAAATCCGTGGGAGGCGCGGAGCGGACCGCCGCGGACGATCAGACAGCGTGGACGGAGCGCGCGATTTCAGGCCGTGCCGGAGTGAAACTGAAATGGCAAGATCGACTGAACTTCTACCTCGCTCGTTTCTCGCTGTGTCTCTCTTTCTCTCTCTCTCTCTCTCTCTTTTTCTCTCTCCCCTTCTGTCCCCGTCTTCCTGTGTTTCCCTCCTACTCACCCTCTCTCTCTCTCTCTCCTTTGTTCCCACGACGAAGTCTCTTTCTCTTTCGCTCTCTAACGCTCTCTCTCTCTCTCTCTCTCTCTCTCTCCACCTCGGCAAGCGTTCACTTACTGTACATACTCGCGTATATTGCGTATACCAGCTACCAATCGCAGTCTAACTATAGCGTGGAGTATTGTGCGCTACGAGCCGGTGGACGCACGAGGAAAACTCACGATGGGGGCCAACGAAAGTGGGGAACCACGTCACCGCACACGTACGCACGCACGTAGGTAGGTAGGTAGGTAGGTAACACGTGCACACGCACGTACGTACGCATGCGTCAGCGACACGAGGGGGCTACTTTTGGAGGACCCACTTTCGGCCGGGCATGTGGACGTGTTAATGAAGAACCGGCGTTGCCCGCCGAAGGAGATCCGACGATTTAACTCGCACCTCTCCGGAATCGGAAAGTGCATACCGCGACACCACGGACGGCCGAGCCGCGCCGAGCGTGCACGGGTGTGTGATGTCTCACTTTCACCGCGCGGAATCCTCGGCCGACGAGCGGCACGCGGCTCCAGCCTGGAGCCTGGCGTTATAAAATGACGATTGTTTCGATCACCGGCGCGGGGCCTCGTCCTTAGAAAGCTAATCGCCTCTCGATGCGGCCGATTTCCCGCATCCTTCGCCCGAATCCTCTATTCTGTCGCGCGCGTTGCTGCGTGTGTCGTGTACACCGTGATCATACGGGATATCTCGAAAACAACGCATGTCCTTAACACGACAGATCCTCTGGGACATTCTGAAGCGAAAGTTAAGCCACGACAACATCGAGGCACAAATAGCTCCCGAGATACGAGCGAGCGATAAAGCGAGGCTTTCCGTGAATTTGTATGAACGAATAGATAGGAAAATTATTTTCCCCGACCAATTTTGAGCGGTCCTTTACCTTTACGGTAGTTTATTTTAGGCTTTGGTCACAAAGTTATAAGTTGAAAACTAAAAGTCGCTGTGAATAAGCTCCCTCGGCATTTTCGCACTCGAACTTTTGTCTTAGAATGTCCCATCTGTCATGTTAAGGACGTATATTGATTCTGGGTCACCCTATATGCGCTACCTTGATGGTACAATAATCTCGTCTCGTTCAAGGAATCAGGTAGACCGGTGAATCTCGCACGGAACGGAATTGTCCGCTCGTCACAACTGTCGGGATGCGTACCAGCTTCAATTGTTCAAATAAGACCTTCGTCTATTGTCACACCGCGAGAATGGCTGGTGTGAAGGCTTTCAATTTCTGTAATTACGTTCATTATCACGCTCACGGTGTGCAGTTAACTCGGCTGAATACTGCGATTATCCACTCATTTCTACGTCAATCATTACACTGTATTACACTGATTTCTGCGTCGATAACGTTGAAAGTCATTTATTGTCAGATGTGCTTTTCTTTGCACCTTTTTTTATTGTATTACTTGTAGCCACTTATATATATTTATTTGAGCTCGTGTGTACTTTGAGGAGCCTCACCCTAAAGTTGAGTAAATCTGTTTATCTACACGGAAAACAGTAATCTTAAGTCAATTGTAGATACTTTCATATATAAACGAGAATACTGTAATAGACGATTTTTAGTCTTGAATCGAATGTATATATGTAATGCCTGAATCAACAGAAATTCAATTCAATCGGGACTAAAGATCTCCTAGGATTATAATATTCTTGCTTATATGTGAGAATACCTATCATCGATCCGAGACTAATTTTTTCACGTGTACCAATTCTCTATGACTTTCCCCCCCGCATTCCCGAGCCGGTGCTCGCGCGGAATACGTAATTACCGTGGAATTTCGGCAGATTACACATCGACTAATAAGGGCGCTGGTAAAATGCGAGAAGTGTTTCAACGTGGGTGGGTCGTGGCCGTGTTTAAACACGCACATATTATCGTGTCCCGCACGCTTCCGTCACCTCCGAAGTTAGGTTCACATTCGATGGCGGTAATTTCCGTTTGTTTGGCGACGGCTCCGCCCAAGTAATAACCACGGGCCCTAATTGGAGCAGTCGGCACTCCGGGCGGTTTCGATCAAGCCGTCCGCCGTCGTGCGATAAATTTTCTCTTCGGCTCACGATATGCCGGACACTTCTCAAATGATGCCGAACGAGCCGAGTTATTTCGAGGGGGATCTCGGACACGGCCGAAAAAAACGGCCGGTTTTCCCTCCGTTCGCGCGAAAAATCTCCCTTTTCCTCTCTGAGAAACTTCGCGAAGTACACGGAGGAAGATAAAGGAGATATCCGCTCGTTAATGAGCCGCTTCTGTCGGCGGCCCTAGAACCATATCAATTTGAATATTTCGATTCGATACAAGCGTCTCGCAGACCGCAGCGATATCTATCGCGAATCGAGAATATACACGATGTCGCCGAGGCGCAAGATGGTGGCGAGCGTTTTCAAGTCGGATAGGTGCGGTTCCGTCGTCGGTGCGGTTATAATTGCCGTTGTGTCAGCGTGACGTTACCTCACGCCGTGATACGACGCGCACGCGAACGTCCCGGGAGGATCGAGATATCCGGCGCCGCGGGCGAATCTCGTCGCGCAACCCTCGCGCGATTCTGCGTGTCAGCTGACAACTGTTTGTGTACGCGTCGGTGCATCGTGTGCATCCGAGGATCGTGGATGGCAAGTAACAAAGCCCCACGACGTACCACGGTTTCCTCGACGGTGCGCCGACTGTTCACGAATCGTTCTCGTGGCTGCTGAACGTGCGATCGGGAAGCACCGGGCGGACGAGAAAACGTAGCGCTATCGGCAACTGTTGCCCTGCGGAGGCATCTGTAAGAATAGAGAAGGACGTCTTGCGAGGAATACGAAGGCGATCAGGCGTCGATTCAATGAGACGAGACAGATTCGTCTGGATCGCAAAAGAAGTTCGGCAGCAGAATCATGGAAAAATTGGAGGCGTTGGGATGGTGAGTGATCACTCCGCTGAGAGTCATTGCTGACGATTGAAGTGCGGAATTTACTTCGATGGAATCGACGTCTTTCTCTCTCTTTCTTTGTCTGCCTAAGACTTAGTCTGCAATAGGTGCTTTAAGCCCTAAGCCTTGATAAATTGACCAATCACAATCGAATTACAGAAGAATAATCAATGGTGATTGGTCAATTTCTTAAGGCTTCAAACTCTATTGTAGATCTAACCTAAAAATTAACCGGTCCGCTGATTTTCTAAGCCAAATATATATTTGCGTTAGTGTTTATATTGATTTTATTATTAGGTACTTGTCTGATCATGGTTGTAATGTGGCAACCGATTCAGGAAATATAACCGACACGCAGAGGATAGTCAAACGATTGTTAGATGTAAGTATCGTTCCTATGTAGATGATGCGATTATTGACCAATGACGCAAATACCCGGGATTTTACATGAAGGGAAAAACATAAAAAAATTGTCTACAGATTGACTTGAGAGAAGTCGGCAGTGGAAATGGGGATCTCAATCAAGGCAATATTATCTTACAAATACAAAAGATACGCAATGTCGCTGCACCGAAAGGAAACGAGGAGTCGAGGGCAGCCCCACGAATGTTAAAATTATCATTGACAGATGGGAAAAATAATTTTCAAGCCTTAGAAGTTGAACATATATCGTCTTTAAGGTAAGTCAGACATCAAATTATTTTACCACTCGTCAAACCTATTTACAATCATTTCATTCTATTATATTTCCTCCTCAATTTTATATCCCATTAGTTTGAACACTCCACCTGGTACAAAAATATCAATAAAATCGGGAATCTTACCTGTGTCACATGGGATTATCTTACTGAGACCATCGCATATAGCTCATGTGCTTGGGGGAAGAGTCGCCAATCTAGTAGAGAAATGGGAATTAAATAAGGTAGGATGATCTAATAAATAAAATCGTACATCACTGTTAAAAGGTTTATAACAAAAAACATTCCACTAATTGTATCTATATAATCAATAACGATCCAATCCGCTGAACAAATGCAAGTGTAGCGTTTCTGTTATAGAAATTAGCTTTACATACTCGAGTAAGATCCGCCGAAGAAGGTGGGCCTCCGCCATGGATACCATTTGGCAAGAAGATCGTAAAAGTCTCCGAGCAAGATAAGAACTTTAAAGCTCTGGCGGAAAAAGAGAAGCCTAGTAAAGAAAACACGGAGTTCGAGGCTCAACGTAAGGATGCAATCGCGGAGGCCGCTAAGCAAGGCAGCAAAAAGGTGTTCGGAGGTGGAAACAAACAGGTTTGTCTTTCTATTTTTGTGTCTCTCCTCAAAACACATGAATATTCGTATTAATATAATAACCTGAGGAATTGATTTATACTTGTGTTTCTCACACAGCTGTTGGATCATAGTGTACAGAAAATTGTAGATCGCGGATTTACCATAGAGCAAGCGGAATACGCTTTGAGAGTGAATAAAAATAACGTGGATAAAGCTCTCAAGAGTTTGCAGAGGACCGACAGCAAACACAAGTACGTATCTCTCTTATCTCCCTTGTGTCTTTTCCCTCGCTTGAACGTTACCAAGTTACAATCTCTTCTCTTACGCAGCGCCAAGGAATCCCGAGAGCCACGGGAGCCACGTGGCAAACGATTCGAGAAGAAGACTGAGGAGAGTAAACCCAGCAGTGGGAAAATATCTCTCTTTGACTTCCTGGAGGATAAACTACCTGTGCAGCCCGAAAGTGTTGATACCACCGGTTCATTTCAGAACAACTATGCGCAGAACAGCGAGAGTAATCAGGACCGTCTGGAGTCGAGAAATTACGCCGACGTGCAAACCGGAAGAGGCGTACGGTATGTTAATAGTTCAACAAGATCGATCGATCATGTTGCACGAAGCGTCGGTTTTTCTAGTATCAATCTTTATTTAACAGGGGCCAGAGAGGAGGCCGGGGTTATCAACCTCCTCCGAGGCACGCGGAGGAACACAGGAACAACAAACGGCCGGCTAACAGCAGTTCCACCGCGTCTTCGTACTCGCAGTATAACAATGGCGGTAATGCCCAGCAAAACAAGCCGCCGAGATTTCAACGTAATCAGGAATCCCAGCAACAGTATCAACACAACGGAGGTAGAGAGGCGCAGCCGAGGTCCGCCCAGCCAAACGATTATAGAAACTCGTTCGCTCAGTCGCGCACAAGTAGCATAAACGTCAGTGACGGTGGTAACGAGAGCTACAGCAAGAACCTGGCCGACACGTTGGGGAAGACTCATCTCGGTAGTAACAGAAACTATAATCACGTCGAGCCTGACGCCAGAAATAAGCATTCTTACGATGCTTCTTATGGTAGGCATAATCGAGCGCAACAAGACGGAGCTACGAAAATATATTCGTCTAACGCGACTGAAAAGAATTTTAAGAATCAACCTAAGTATCAGGCAAGTCAACATAACGCCGACAGTAGGGTGAATCTCAATGCTCAGAGAAACGAGAACAATTATAGCGATCAAAACGTTTCCGCAAGTAACACGGTTTGGGTTTGGAGAGTGGGTGACAAATGCATGGCCAAATATTGGGAGGATAACAGGGTACGTATCATTTTTCTCACGCATTTAGTTACGATCGATCAGCATCAGTTGTGAGTGAGAAATCATTTGGGTTTTGAATCGAATCAATTCTAGTATTACAATGCCGAGGTCACCGGCGTCTCTGAGAGAACGTGCGTGGTGCAATTCAAGGAATTCGAAAACTATGAGGAGGTACTACAGGTGGATTGCATACCAATTACCGAAGATGTATGTTGAACAGCAAAATATACTATAATTACCAGGTTTGGGTAATAACTAGTCGCTCAATTAAAAGTTAAATAACCTTTAACTTAAACTGGTTAATTTAAAATGCGTTAACTTTAACTTATTAACTTTTTTTATATATAAAATAATTCATCAATACTAAAATCATTGCGGGCTGCTTATGATATATGAATAAAAATTAAAAATAATGCCGGCAGATTTTTTTTGTTTCTATAAGCGCTAGTTTTCTTGTATGGAATCCTGAACACGAATTCTTTACAGGCTATTTCAGCTTGATTAAAAATAAAAGTTAACTTACCCAACCCTGATAATTATTATACTGATACCTTCATGATAATATTTCTCATCCATATTTGTTACATTATCAGGTTCAAGATCCTGTCGTAGATACGAGACGGCAGGATCAGCGTTCGAACAATCGGCAGCCACGTTACGATCAGAGCCATAATCACATAAATGGTGAGTGACGGAATTCACTTCTGCCAGACTGAGTCTTATCATTCCAAGGAGACCCCACGATATATTTCTTAGGGATATCAATTTAATCCTGAATTATGATTGACAGCAGGTATGGAATTTCGACGAGGTGGGAGCGGCATCGCCGGTAACAATAAGGGGTACAATAAGAAACGAGGTCAGCAACGGAGCACGCAACCCATCTATCAGCCGCCGGCGCAAAGAGGCTACAATTCTATGCCAATTAATAGTCCAAATAGTACTCAACATAATTCCTTTCTTTAATGTAACATTAGTCTCGCGTCTTTAGCAAAAGGAAGTATCGAAATGTCGCTAATTATAATTGAGGCAGTCGCATTTGCTACTGAGGAACGATCTAACCGGTTGCTACACTAATAAAAGAACAAAAAGAGTTTTAGGTGTCGATATTAACAGGCGTATGAATTGTGTGCCGCGTTTGATTCCTACTCGAATTAGATAAAACATGCGACGACTTAACGCAGAAAATAAAGCTGGTTTTTCACGCCCTACACACGCATACATACAAGAAAGAGTAATTGTGAGAGAAATCCTATTGTAAAATATCGATTGTGTTCTCAAAATACTGTACTATTTATATTGTAGGAAAATTGATTCTTAATACTGGAGAGCAGAGTAAATGTATCTCTGTACCTCGTCCACTTTAGTTGTAATACTAATAAATCTTGTAATATCTAATTAAAATGCAGACTTGATTTTTATCTTCATTCGATGTCGATTAGAAGTAAGGAAAGTCTATCCGACCAGTCATTCGATTGCAAGTCCAAAGTTGGAAGCACCTCTGATCGGTCGTTGAGACGTACTACTCGGAAAAAAATAAGACCCGTCTGCCCAGCCGTTGAGTCGAACTACTTGCTCGATTCGTCATTGGAGATGGTGGCGCCTCGTAGCGGAGACTTAGGAACTAAAAAGTAACAGATCTTTCCGCTGCACCTTGGGGTCTTTCTGCATCTTTGTGTCTTTATTTTCAAACAGATATGACACAACGATAACTCAGATCGTTTTATTCGAAACCATACGGACTCGACGACAAACCAGACGAACTTTTATTTTCCGCCCGATTGGAAAATACCGAAAAGACGATCGACGTTTCGACGAGAAGGGAGACGAACGCCGACTCATCGTCGTCGAGTACGTACGAATATCGTTAATTCTTACGACAGTTGGTTCAGTTTAAAAACAGTCTAAAAATACAGATTTTGAGTCACTAACGTGAGTCATCGTTCGGATCGCTCGTTATCGCTTATCAGTCATCGTCGTCGGAAACCAGATACCATCGTCGCGCGTAACGCTCTCTTCTCTCACGCGAGACGGTCTTATCTGCTTCGTGGTAACGTTTCTGCTGTTATATTTCTCTTCCCTCGCCTTCCTCGTCACGGAAACGTCGGAAGCTCGCGCGAAGCGTGACACAGCGCGGAGAGCGCGCGTTCGTCACGCGCGCCGAACATGTGACCCGTTTAAAGTTTCACCGTGCGTGCGCGCCCGTCCGTCCGAGCGGGCGAGTGAGCCACCAACCAGCCGGCCGACCGCCGCAGTCGCGCAGTCCCGAGGTGCACTTCGAGCCTCCTACCATTGGCTGTGAGGCCGCAACGGCTCTGTAGGTTATGTCGCTGTGTTTACATCGTACGCGGGTCTCGGATTGATCCGCATTTATCTCACGTCGCACGCGCTCACGGTGTCCGTCGTCGACGGGCTCGAACGGCTCGGCTGGGCGAAATATGAGAAGGATATACCCGGGACGCGCGATCGAGACGTCGAAGACGACGACTGGAACGGATCTGCGACCGGATTACTCCGTCGCGTTCGCGAGCTAATTCGATTACGATCCAAGGTGCGTATGTACATTCGTGATCGTTTCTTCGCCTCTTCTCTCTCTCTCTCTCTCTCTCACTTTCGTCTTCTCGCTCTCTGCGCCCTCCCGGCGGACGCAACCTCCCACGCGGATATTTACGCGCATCGAACGAGAGCGAAAGTCGCGTCGCTTCGCGCGTTTTCACGCACGAGAGAAGGAGAGGCGCGTCTCGATCGATCTCTCCTCATGCGTGACGTTTTTTCGTCAAAACCGCTGGCCGTCGGGCGAAACCTTGTCCTATTTCCGTAGGTCGAATTACGTGTATATATATATATACACACACCAATGTCTCTCGTGTGTGTGTATGTATATATAAATACGCACACATACAGCAGCGCGTGCGATTACTAGACTACTTGACAGTCGCCCCGCCACCGCTGTTGCCGCCGCCGCCACGCGTAATCGCGAGCGGTTACGAATCTCCCGTGACCTTGGCGGCGTGCGTCTCGTCGCTGCAACGGCGAACCGCGCGTCTGTTCACCCGCGACCTTCGTCGAGTGGCTGCGGGAAGAAAAGCCGTCGCTTCTCTAATGTTTTACTAATGAGCGTCGCACGTACGATCCGACCTGGTCTGTCCGTGTAAATTTGTTTGTGATACATTTTTGTTTTTTATAGCAGAGATGAATATTAATTGCACGTTTTAGGTGGAAATACCAACTGCGACGCACATCGTCGACATCGTTGCGCTCGAAATCTGTCAGGCGTGTTTTTCAAAGGGAGGGGGACTTTCCGAACGGCCGGCGAAATTGCATCACCCCGAGGGTCTAATTAATTTTAATCAGCCTCCCGTGACTCATCGAGCCAATTTTGTAATCCGTTCGCAATAATACCGACGCTCGAATTAATTATCCGCACGGTCGAGCCTGAGAGATAATCCGCTCCAGCGGATTATGTCTCCTCGGCGTCCCGAAGTTTATAGCACCGATGATTGATGAACCGATGACTCACTTCTGATATAGGATACTTTCATTGCCACGGCAGGACACGGCGGTGTTATGAACGTTGGCCTATCCATGTACGATGGCCTGGAGAACGACAGTGCTCCTGACAATGGCTTGGAAACCAATGGGAGTACTACGAAGAAACTGGCCAGAGGTATTTCCCGTGCGACGGAAAACGCAGCGATCGTCTCCTACGCTCGCTCGCAACTCGCATCCGGAGGAGTGGACACGCCGGAATACACATTCTCATTGCCGGACTTGTCTGTCTATCCAGGTATTGTTCTCTCACATGCTCCTGTACGCTTCAGACTCGGTTTCTCATTTCCTGGTTAACTCGTGGTTCAGACTTAATGTAATGTTAATACGAAAATCGTGCTTGTCCTGTTCATGGTTAATCATTAAACTGGTGGTATTGTAGTAGCAGGCCTTTTAGGTCCAGTTTTTCACTTTCTGGTAAACTCGTGGTTTGAGCTTTTATATATATATATATAGAAAATATATATATAATAATTCATATAATTTTTATGTATCATCAGATTACATACATATATATATATATATATANAAAAATTATATGAATTATTATATATATATTTTCTATTCACTTGATTAATAATTAAATTTTAAAAGTTACCATTACAAAACCGTCAGTTTAATGACTAACCGAAAATAGAAAAACACAATGTTTGTATTATCATCAATTTAGGTTTAAACCCCAAATTAGCGAGAAAATGTCAAGCCGAGCCTTAAAATGATAAAGCGTGAGTAGAAGAACATAATTTTTACATTAACCGTCAGGTTAAACCTGAGCCAAGTTAATCAGAAAATGAAGAAAACGGGCCTAAATGTAACACGCGCATCTTACTCTGAACGCCACTGCTAACGCGTGATTGTTAACACTCTGTGTTCAGATTCATTCCGGAATTTCCTTGAGAAGGATCTGATCGAGAACGGATGTCTGACTTCCCTGGAGGCCGCGGGCCGTCTGAACTGGTGGTACAAGAACGGAAGCACCAGGATCCTCTGGCCGCTGGCGACATCCGGGGACGGCAACTGTTTGCTTCACGCCGCCTCGTTGGGCATGTGGGGTTTCCACGATCGACTGCTCACGCTAAGAGAGGCGCTGCACAACACCTTAACGAGAGGAGAGTACAGACACGCTCTCTTCAGGTAATATTCGAGGTGTCGAACGTGCATCGCAAGGGTCGAATAAATCAAACAAGCTTTACAAGATCTCCGTCATCCACAGACGGTGGAAGTGGCGACAGACGGGCTTGAATGCAGCAGCCGGATTGTCGTACACGGACTCGGAGTGGTTGTCAGAGTGGCGGAGTATAGTGGACATGGCCTCCCCCACGATCAGAAACCAAACCGCCACCTCTTATCAGAGTCTCGAAGAGGTATCGTGACGCATCCCCTCTTGCCCTCCGTCGCGTGAAAAAGAACAGTTGCTTCACGTGTGATCCTCGTTTCAGATACACATCTTAACCCTGGCTCACGCCTTGAGGAGGCCTATAATAGTCATAGCGGAGACCATGCTGAAGGATGCCGAGGGGGTGGCCCTGGCGCCGATTCCGTTCGGCGGGGTGTACCTGCCGTTGGAGGTGCCGCCTTCCCGTTGTCACCGGACGCCTTTGCTCCTGGCTTATCACTCCGCTCACTTTTCCCCTCTCGTGACGGTGGACGGCTGCAACGATTACGGCAGCGCCTGCGGCGAAGGAGTCAGCATACCGTTGGTGGACCCGGACACGGGCAAGCTGCTGCCGGTCTTGTTCGCCGTGGATCCGGGCCCCGATTGGGACTGGGTGGACGGCTCGCGAGAGTTGTTGTCTTGTCAGCAAGATATCGTAAGTACACACGTCGTTGTAAGTAGTCCGCGCCGACAGAGAAACTTGTCATCCGCGCGGTGGAGCCGTCCTCCCGCCTGTTGGTAAAGCGTTGAATCATTAGTGAGGGTAACTGAATGAGACGTCGCTTATTGTTATCCACGCGCAGATGGAGCTTTTGTTACGAGAGTATCTCGACTGTGAATATCAGAGCTTCATAACCGAAGATATGGACAGATTCGGCGACACGGACGGCTCCCTGTCGAAGACGGCGAAGCAGCTGTTGCAACAGGTCGGCTCGCTCGGCAGGTCCGTCAGCAGGAAACTCGGACTTAACGTGACGAAGAGACCAAAGAGCCCGCCCGTTGCGGGCGGCGGCGTTTCCACCGAGGGCCTGTTGTGCGTGAGGATAAAGAGCAGGCGGCATCAGTTTGTCGATCAGATGCTGCAGAATTATCTTCAGTACGCCCATTCGAGGTATGTTTTCCCGGTTACGCGAATTCTTCGGTTTTACCGGCGATGTGTCGCGAGAGATTGGCGCATGATTTGCCACGCACGTTGTTGCAGGTACCTGCAGGATCACCAGGTGGACGACACCGGCAGCGAGCTCAACTACGGCGCCGGGAAGTCCAAGTTTTACGCTGCCAGCGATCGCGGTAGTCACGCGAGCGTCAGCAAATTGCTGCCTACGAATCCGAATAACAAAGACCATACGCTTTATCTTTCAAGGTACGCTTCATCGCGAGACGCTCGATCCTTGACCCTTTAAGCTCCGACCGTCACGGTCGCCGTCACGATCGCCGTGACGTCGGACGTGTCGGGTCTATTTTGTCTGCTCCCGAACAAAATTGCACTTTTCACCGTTGGTGTGAGACAAAGGGTTGAGGAACTATCGCTTTCAATTCGATAAATCGACATTCGGTTTCGCAGATCTACGTTTTACAAGGATCAAGCGACAAACGATGCGGGACCAGAGATTTGGAGTAACAGTGACGATTCGAAGGTACGTCGAACAAATATCGAAAGTAGCGGGAAGTAAGCTCTTTTGATTCGATATCTCTGTGAAGAACGACGACGTTTGCAGGACACCGTGAAGAAGTGTCGCAATGAGAACTGCCAGTACTTTGGGATTCTGGAAAATCACTATTACTGCTCGAAATGCTGGGCTGATCGGTGTAAAGGTTAAACGGCCGTCCTTAATCACACGTGACAATAATCTCGGTTTAATACTATGCTCGACTAAACTACTAAATAATTGGTAGACATTGCGCGCGCTAGTCGTATAAGATGAAGCTTATGGACAGGTGATATCCCACCAACATATCATGCTTTTTTCTAATTTCGTTTCTTCTTCTCCTCGTGTTCTCGTTATTATCGCGAAGTATTTATTATTGTATTGTTCGTTACCTATTTATTAACATTTGTCATCTAATTTGTCATCTGAGAAAACAACATATCAGATACACAGGGTTCGACTAAACGACACATGTGTTGACTCTGACGTGCTCGCAATGCACGTTTCATCGTTCCGAAGTGACTTAAAAAAAAAAACTGATCTTTTTTTTTCCTTATCCTTTCAACTCGTGCATACTCAGGGAACGAATGTAATTTTTTATATTTTGTTTCAAACGAACGGTTTAATTTTGCGCAATTTCAACGTATATACACGTGCCTTCTGTCATATATGCGCGAAACAAAAAACAATAATACTCTCCCTTAATACCGCCGTGATCAAGATCTTCACCACTCATAACTACCTCCTTTCCGAATGTAATGCTCAGTATGTAATTGTTAGCGCTTTACAGTTCGTTGTGGAATCCTGCAAGACGATATGGCAAACATTACGTTTATAATCTCATTATCTCGTGCAATTGATGTGTATGACAAAGTTGTGTGAAGAATAAACCATATTTTTCTACGCGTCGCGTAGTCCTTAATCTTTTCTGAGATAGGATGTATTAGTAGTAATGATGGTGATGGTGGTAGTAGTAGTAGTAGTAGTAGTAGTAGTAATAGTAGTAGTAGTAGTAATAGTAATAACAGTAATAAAAAAGTAGACAAGGCCAATATTTTGCCATAATAAAATGTATTTACACATATTTCCTCGCATTAGCCTATCGTCACGTGAAAAAGGTCGTAATTAATAGTAAATGATTAATATTACCTGACATTACCTATAGTCACTAAATTATCGACAAAGCATATTGATAGTAGTACGCTAATTTTATTAATAATCGTACGAAGAAGTTTGCTCTCGTGTTGGTATGTACAAAAAAAGAAGGAAAGAATTATTCTCGGTATACAAATTATCAACGTTTATACCTCGGTGTCTTGCACACATCTTCTCCATTATTAAATAGCTAAGGAAAAACGTGAAATGAGAAGAGGTTTTACAATATATTGAAGGAACTAGGGGGATATTTACTTCAGCTACGTTACTACAAGCGCAGAGTATACGTTTCTTTTTTTTTTTTTCTTTAGATACTATTGCGGAATTTAAATGTTCTCTCGCCCTTTATTTTACCGTTTAACACTTTCAACGCCCAATTTTGGTCTCTCGATGAAATGGCTAATAAAGAAATAAGTAGAGGAATACGCACTTATATATTTCGTGTGTCTTTAAAATTGAGTTTCGTTTTACTATTTACAATTTCAGTCATACGAGCACAGATACACTACCACAGAGTCGATTAGCTGTATCTCCGGATATACTTTTCACTTTTTAAGTAATCACTTTTACTTTTTACGCTTAACCAATATATATACCATATTTCTCTCTGGGGAAGCTTTACATTCCCTCGTGAAAGGTAATACTTAAGTATACGAGATCTTAACGAAAGAGTTATAAGCTAAACTAACTTTGTGGCTGTAACATTATGCGCGTACAAGTTTTTTCACACGACCGTTGTTCCTCTCAGAAAAAAAGAAAACTTAGTTTGCTGTTAACGGTGAAAATTAAGGTATTTGTAGCAAAAGTTACATATGTGTCTAACTCTAGAAACTATGATTAACGCCCGCCGTTGAAGACCCGCGAGAAGCAATAATCAACATTTGATCGCGCTGATTTCTCGCTTCTAACTCGGACGCAAAACGAGGCGAGGAAGGATACCGATACGGTACGCGGCATTATCCATGCACGTAAGATAAGTAATTACAATTTGCTACACTGATATGGATGGATCGTATTTCTGCGCATGATGAAACGATTCGTCATCTTTTTCCCTCCTTCTCTTTCGAGCGGGTCTTCTTCGGCAGCTCGTGTTTCCTTTTTTTTTGCCTCTTATTTCTACGTTTTCGAATTCTCGCCCAATTGCGCTTCGATGTTACAACATAAATAATTAATGAAACAAAACAACGCGAATTTCGGTTATTTTCAATGCAAATTTCAATAGTAGTAGGTATATTACGTTTTTAGGATCAATTGACGTACCCCACGTACACTCACAGCTTTTTGAACATGGCGTGAAACTAGATGCCCAATACAAAGTCAATCATCGTGTTTTTACTTACATTATGATCGTCTTTATCGAACGTTAGTCCCTGCTAGGTAAATCAATTGGTCCTGATTTGAAAGATCGAGGTGCCAGCCACAACACAACAAGCACAGTGCTCCCTATCGAAAGGTACTTTTATACGCATACCGTAGCATATTGCTTAAGTTAAAGAGCTTGTAAACACGGAATTCTCGATAGTTTCATACAATGATGAACGTTAACGCGCTCGTAGTGTCCGTCGTTGGACGACGGTGCTCGAGTTTCCCTATTAAAAAAAAAAAAAGAAAAAGAAAAGAAAACCGCGTTGATTTCTCGTCTTTCGCGTCGCAACGCGTCGCCGAGCGAACGACAGTTTTCACCACTTCGCGCAATCAATGTCGCAGATTGCGGAAAGCACGTGATGCGCTACGTAGACTCACGGATGACGAGTAAAAAAAGAACGCTTCCTCGTATTCGCTTTCTTAAATGAAAAAGAAACACGTGACTGTGACAGATAACCGCGATTGATTCAGGTAGAAGCGCGCGTGTTAATTGACGATGGCTTCTGCAGATGTACGCGATTTTACGCGGATTTTTCGCGACGTATCGGCTGCTCTTCGAGCAAAGAAACGCTCACTTGAATTTTCGGCAGCACGTCCGAAGAGACGGAAAGAAGAAAGAGAGAGAGAGAAAGAGAGAGAGAGAGAGAGAAAGAGAGCGTCCGGTTTAGAAGCTCATTAATTTATTAATCTATACAGAACTGATAATATTTAGCGTCTCGAGTTTCTTTTTATGCATTATCATCTAAGAAATGGATCACGATTCTCCGTTGCCACTGTCATCGCCGTCCTCGTAATCGGTCGCGCTCAGTTGCTCATCCTCGTCGTCGTCCAACTCGTACTCGTCGTCGTAAAAGTCCGTCATGTCTAGCTGCTGTTCGGCCGGCCTAGCCCGAGTCTTTATGCAGTAATCCTCCAATGTTACGGGCACGACGATACCCTCCTTTTCGGCTTCCATCTTGGCAGCTTGGGCTTGTTTCCTAAATAGAAAATAAGTGCAAGACGTACATTGACAAGACACCTACCTGCCTGTGCCTCGCACCACTGTCGTCGGCAACTCGCGCTACTCGGGTTCCGCTCGTCGCGTCGGAGAAAGAGCCACACCGAATATACGGAAGAGAAACGCCAAGGTGGGCGTATCGGATTGAGCGAACGGACAGCGAATGTGTAATGTGAACCGTGCATATTCGTACGTCTAAACGCGCTCGAACTTTCTTTGATGAGCCACCTACCTTACGAGCAAATCGTTCCGCTCGAATCAGTCATGCCGCACGTACAGTCGGCGTCACGTCTGCTGTATCATTCCCCGGGTTGAAACTTTTTACCGTTACACCACAATTTTCGGCCCTCACGTTGTACAGATAAAGCCGAAACTATCAGGCACCGGATAAAGTTCGCGCGGATTCTTACCGTCGATATTGAAACACTCGGAATTTTTCTCGAAAGGTACTTTCGTTTCACGAAGCAGTCACCGTTGACTTCGACGACCCTTTTCCACGCCCGTATATTTCTTGTTTGGTTGGGTTTGAACGCACATATCCACGCGGTTATGTGCGCCTCTTAATAATAATAACAGATGAACGTCCCGAACGCGGTTCATTCTCTGGCGATTCATTACCTTCCTTAAACCGCTCGGACCATTTCTGCACTGTCCTTTCGTCGCTAACAATGCCTTCATCACGCACGCTACAAATGCTGCGTTTGCTGTATCGCCGTATTTCCAAGTTTAAACTCATAAGGCAAGAAAGCACGAGCTTTTAACTTTACGCTGTCCACCTTTAACTTCACATACAACGACGGAATGTTGGAACGATTGAAAGTTGCACATCATGTACCCGAACGATATAAATGTAACTTTCCGTTGACACCAACTTCATGCATCACACGTGCGAATTACCGACTGAAATCCGACTTCGATTCATTGCTAAGAAGGAAATCGCACGAACTCTTCTCCGGTACCTGATATTATAATTAAACCCATTATAATCTTACTAGTACCACCGGAATGACTTCTGTGATTTTCAAGCGGGGTCCACAATGAGAATTTAAGGCGTAAGACTTAAGAAATTGACCGATCAGGGTCGAATAGTAGAAGAAAAGTCAATTAAGATTGGTCAATTTCTGAAATCTTACGCCTTAAGTTCTCACTGCAGACACCGCGTAAGATTGAAGATCGTGTAACTTTCCCTCTGGGGAATGGCACGACGCCGACCGTAAACACACATCTTCCAAATTGTAACAACGAAAGTTCGCAATCGCCGTTCGTCGGTCGTTCGTCGCCCAGTTCCGTACACGCGAGCGCCGCGGCGAGATTTCCTCGCGTCCCGTATCATCGGCTGGAGCGCGTAATCGCGTAATCGTCAATTCTGACGGAACCGTCAATTCCAGAGGAGAGAGCTGGACTTGAACGCGAGGCTCTCGCCGTATCGATCGGTAATCCAAGTCGTTCGCGAGTATTCGCGTGTGTTGGTTCGGCAAGCGATTCTGCCCGTTCATTGCCGACGAAATGATATTTTCGCGCGTGGCCGTCTAATGCCGTGCGTAACACCTCGTGCGTCCCGGTATCCTCGTTTCCGCGGCCCTCGTTTATCGCACGCCCGTTTAGTCGACACGCAGTTAACTCGCACGCTACGAGAGAGAAGAGAGAGAAAAAGAGAGAGAGAGAGAGACTCGACTGATCTTTTCGGCGATAACATTGAGTCGCGAGAAAGAATCGGTAGGAGGAGGCTTTTCAGCTGCCGACGTGACGCGTGACGTGTCATGCAACGAAGTGCGTTATCGACGTGAGACTTTCTCTCTCTCTCTCTCCCCCCCCCCCTCTTTCTCTTTCTCTCTGGCTTACCTTATGATATTTTCATATTCTTTGTCTCTGCCTTTGGAGTCGCGCCAGCGTCTGTACATCACCGAGGCGTCGACATTGGCAGGGCTGTATGTGTTGGGCTCGTTCAACAACGAGATTACTGATAAGAGGATAGTTCTGCACATACGAGAAAGAGAGAGACAAGAGCGATTAGTCAAGCGGAGAATTCGGCTCGGAGTAAATCCCCGCCGCGGCTTTCCCGGACAAACCGCGCGACTTTCCTCCTCCCCTGCTTTAGCAGAGCCGCATCGTCTCGCGCGCATCTACCCACCTGACATTTTGCGTTGGATTCCACCTCTCGCAGGGTAGCTCGCCACTCTGTGGGTCGTCTACGGGCGGATGCAGAATTGATATACACAGGTCGCCGTTCTGCACAGACAAGGAGACGCGGCGTTTCAGATCTCCGCGCAGGATTTCCCCCCGCGTTCGCCTTCTTCGTCGGGCTCCGGCCAATATTGCATTAACTGCTTTGTTTCGTTGAACACACGCGGCGGATCGAAATTCGCGCGCGTATTATTTTTAGCGCTTTACTTAGCGCACTTACTTAGCGTCTTCTCGTGCGGTCGCGCGCAGAATAGGAGAGATTTGCAAGCTGGGTGTGAGTTAATATTTGGAGGGCCATTTATCGCGACGGATCTCGCAATTACTTCGCGTCGTCTTCAAATGAGAGAAGTGAAGGAAAAAAAAGTGTTGTCTTGAAGGCTCAAGGGGAAAAAAAACCGGAGTTCTCCCATTTTTCCCGCGGATTTCCCCTTCGGTTTTCGTCCCCAAGTACACGGGCAAAAGTGCTGTCGAATCGATAAAATGCCCAACAGCAGCGCAATTGGAATCTTCTCGATTCGATGGCAAATGTCGTTAAAACTACTACGTTATATATCGTGTCAATAATTAAAGTATTAGTTTCATTCAATTGATATAGCTATCGAATCAGGATTCACCCCAATTACGCGCGCTGTTGGAAATTCTATCGATTCAACAGCATTTGTTTCCCATATGGAAAAGTTCGTTCGGAAAGATTCACGTACGTTCGGTTGAAATCTGCCCACGTTTATCATTTATAAAGAAAGATAAGAACAAGATAAAGAAACCGAGGGAATGCGCGGAAAAATGGAAAAAAAAAAACACGTTCTTTCCTAGCCTTCGAAACTACAGTAAGAAACTATGTAGTCGACCTATCACCTGGATTTGCAAGCGTTTCCTGAATACATTAGTTACGTCGCGCTTGAATCTATTAACATTATTTCGCACACACACATACACACGCGTGTGTGAGGGAAAAGGACGGCACTGTTATTAGAGCTTAGGGTCACAGGTTTAAATCCGTCGGCGTTCGCACATGCTCGTGCACGCGTGCGGAGTTCACGTCGCCGTTTTCCTTTCGCCGACACGAGGCACAGCGACCTCCGGCGCTTCTGGTTCCGCGTTCGTTGTCCCTGAGAAAACATCGTCGCCAACACGAAGGCCGGGACCTCGAGGCGCCTTTTCGGGCGTTACCTAAAGAAACGTCGCCGAGGACGTCGACGATTCACGTCGCGACTGCACACCGTATTCGGGGGCGAAGTTTTATGTACGCAGGAAGCACGGATGATACAGTGATGATATACCGAGATATGATCAAAATACGAGAGATATGGAAGCGAGACTCATTCTCTCTTTCTCTCGCTCTTTCTCTCTCTAACCACTCGACTCCGAGCAAGGTATCGCAGAAAGGCCGCAATGGAACGGATGTTATGGAATACATCATCCTTTCATAAAAATATTCGCCCACCTAGATTTTTCCTGCTTCTCGAAAACAAAAAAGAAACTTTACCGTCGACACAACTGACGATTCAAGACGAGGTCCCGAAAAGAGAAAATCGTCCGAAGCGAAAACGGACTCAGCTTTTGACGAACGATGAATGATGAAAATTATTTCATACGCTCGCGACCGATGTTCGAGTCCGAACTGCTCATGCGATTAATTCGGCGGAGCTTCCAATTCTCGGAAAACAGGCACGGGAGAAATGTACACGCGACTCTTATTCGGTGGGCACACGTGTGCGCCACGTACAGAGTTCACAGAGCTCGCGCGCGGAGCGTCGCGCACGTTTCCTCGCGAGGCTCCTCCTCAGCTCGGCAAGTAGGACAAGGCGCATCGTCGTGGTTTCACCGCGCGGACTCCGAGAACACCGTGCGTAATAAGCCACGAAGGCGAGCTGCTGCCTCTCCTCGAGTAAACGCCCGGCACTTGACACGACCGCTCGCGCGTCCGCCGATAGCATCGCTGTTCGCGCATGCATCTGTACGTGTACGAACACCGGCGAGTATGCCGACGCGAAGAATAGCGCGCGCGAAGGCAGGCAGGTAGGTGGGTACGTGGGTGCAACACCGCTGGGGTTGAGGGCACCCACCCCCGCCGACCCCTCGAGATACCGCGGACCGAAAAGAAGAGGTTGGTAAGAAGACGATTTGCTAATTTTTTAAGACTAATAATAATAATAAATAATCTGTCGTAATTTGACTTCAATCTATCAACGACGGATGATGTAACGAGAAATGTATTTTGGACACATCGATCTCTCTCTCTCTCTCTCTCTCTCTCTCTCTCTCTCTCTCTCTCTNTTTGTAGTATTTCTTCATAAAGAATTACACAATTATAAAAAATATCACTTTATAAAACTATTATAATGTATTTAAAAGCACATATAATAACGTATTATTTTACTTTCCATTTCCCATATTGTAATATTCTTTTTTTAATCAGATTAATAAAAACAGTGGTAAAATGATACGTCATGGATGATATATCATGTATGAATATCATGTGCGAGTAAGATAACGCATTCGTACATTTTATTTTGAGAATTATATAATTATAAATAACTGTTTTTATTTTAGTCCTTGTCCGGATTTTATTTTCTTTAAGTTACATTGGCACCACACATAAGTCACACTTCTTGTTCATAAATAATATTATAATTAATATTCTATTTATATTTTATTATATTGTACAAACATAATAATAATAAAATAATATAAAAAGTTTACGAAAATTATTTTCTTGTATGTATAATTGACACGTTGTCGAGAAATTTAAATTAAACAAAACTGGATTTTATTTATAAACTTTCCACTTTATGCAGGTGATGGGTAAAACTTTAGCTACTCAGAAGAAAATTAATCTTTAGTTTTACACTATTACGAAAAATCAACAAATCTTCAAGTCGACATCTAATCCCCTTCCCCTTTCCCCCTAGTCGGAACCGCGTACTGGAGAACTTATTTCCGAATTCTCGTCGGTCTCCTCTCACATGGAAAGAGACGTTTCTCGGAAGAGGAAACGGAAAATCGGCTGCTGATCGGTTAAATAACGTGCCTGGATAGTTCAGTAGGTTAATAGAGGATTAACCTATATGTCTGCATACACACATACGGTCGGGTAGAACAATACACGACGATTACCTCCTCTCTTTTGTACTTTTCTCATTGTGACGATATTCTCTTCCCGAAGTGATAGTTCGGAGACGTCCGCCTATTGTAACGTCACACACCGGTCGTATTTCGTGCGTACACGTATGAGGAAGACCGACTTTTCTTCCTCTCTCTTTCTTCCTCTCTCTTTCTTTCTCTCTCTTTCCCCTTGCGTGTAATGCGCGTGATGCGCGCAAACGTATAAATAATATGAATTTCACGACGGGGAAAGTTGGTGTTCGCGCGAGAAGAACGAAGCGTGCTGCACGTGCTGTCGGCCGGCTGGTATATATCGGCTAACCTTTCCACGACGGTTTACTTCGATTGCGAAAGGCCTCTACATACTATCGGATCAGGCATGCTGTTCCTTCGAGAATTTGCGCAATCCGCGGATTGTCGTCGTCGAAATTTCAATCGCGCACACGCGGAAAAAGCGAGATAAGAGAGCGCGGTGTGTGTCTCTCAGGTTACTTTCTCCTGTAATTAAGAGTTATTATCTAACATTTGGCGTTCATGGCGACGGAAACACGGAAGACCGTTCCCGTATTTTCGTTCGGTTAAACATGACCCCATTGCGAATTGCAGTCCGGCGTACAAAGAACGGACGCGACGCGAAGACTACTCTGATATTTTGCCGGAAGGGGGGGGGGGGNTTAAAGCGACGCAGTACGGGCTGAATATGCAACGGAAATAAGAACTATAATGTGGTGCCCGCGATGCATAATAATCGCGCTTGCTTGCGTAAGAAATTAAGCAAGCCGGCTTATCAGTCGTTCGGCAAAAAGGTCAGCCGTTTCGGACACTCCGAGAGCGAGATAGAAAGGAAGCGATATCAGTGTGCGTGTGTGTGTAATTCTGTATATTCGCGCATTACACGAGGCGAAGCGATTCGATCGCCTAGCCGGAATAACTTTGAGAATTACGTGGAATTCGCAAATTGACTCCCCGCTGAATGTTATTTATCAATTTACTCGTAACACATACACGCACACACGCGCGCGCGAACCACGGCAATCGCGGACGGTTTCGCGCCCGGCGTTTCCATTAACGGCGCGCCCATATATCGGTATAACGTATTTATATTAAACACTAATGAAAATGGAAATCGCAATCCCAAACCGGCGCATGAGAATGCCAAGGGGATCGGGAGAGCTCGAATTCGACTCAAGTTCGGCAAGCACGCGAAGGGCAGGAATAGCGCCGGTAAAAAAATACGGTGGAAACTTCCGAGTTTCTCGCTTGAAAACGACGCGCGATCCGAGAGCCGGCGGCTGCTCTGCGCCCTTCGCGCATATAAAAGGAAAACAAAAATATTTTTGCGCTGTTGCAACCTTTATTTTATCTAGCGCAATTCCATAGAGAGAGAGAGAGAGAGAGAGAACACACCGTAAATAACTTCTGCTGTCTATAACTGGTTACTCGCGTGCGCGCGCGCGCAGAACTAACTGTATATCTACGGGTTCTAACATTTCTCTCTTCGACGGACCAGACGGTGAAAATAAAAAGAGGAAGTGCGCGCGCGAGAGAGAGAAAGAGAGAGAGAGAGGGAAAACGAAAAAAAAGACAAGAGATAAAACAAAAAAAAAGGAAGAAAGAGTATTCGCGTTTGCCTCGTTACTCATAACACGCTTTCTCGTCGCTGCCATCCCTATCCCTATCGACGGGCGAGTGGACACGGATGTCCACGAGCTTTCGACGGTCATTGACTTCGCTTCGCTAGCCGCCGAAGGGTCATATACGACGAGCGAGCGAGCGAACGAGCGAGCAGGAGATGCGCGGTCGAGGTCGATAAGCGTGTGGGAATGCGATACTTTGTGCAAGCGCAAGTGCCACTATACGGCTCGGCCGTAAGAAGAGATAAAAAAGAGAAAGAGAGAGACGCAAAAGAACAAAGGAAAAAAATACATCCCTAATTGACGACGGTTCGCGCGCGGGTCTCGCAGCCGTTCTCGCGACAGATGCAAATTTTATTGCCGGTCGGCGCCTCGCCGCGATTTTCGATTATTCGAGCAGCCGCCGTTGCACGCGGGGCCCTTCGCAATTGCAGCAGCGTTAATCCCCGGCGCTTCCGCGCGCAGCACACGTCGATCATTTCGGAATTAATGTTTCGTTTGTACAAATGTACCGCCGGAGAGTAGGATATAGATAGACAGACATAGATAGAAAGGAGAAGGGGGGGGGGGNGCCTCGCCGATCGACACGGACGATATCGGCTTGTACGTACGAGCCGGACGAGCGTTTAAATACCGCGGTGTATCGTATTTCTGGGCAACGGTGGATACAGGAAACAGCGGGGCCTTTTAAAGCGCCCGTCCGAGCAGCACATGCAACGACGACGTTTAACCGTCCCCGTACATCCTTCAGCGAGAAAGATTAGCATACGACGCTAATCGACGATGACCGAGTCCTCGGCGGAAAGCATCGCGGTTTATCAGCGACGTGCCAACTCGCCGGCCCACCTGCCCCGTCTCGTTGTTGTCGTCGTCGTCGATTACGGGAATCGCTGTCCGTCGTCGTTCGCTCGTCCTCACGAATTCGTGCGAGTCCGCTGATAAGGCAGCGCGAGAACGCGGCGAAACCGCGGAGCTGCTTTCGCGAACGTCGAACGCGCTACGACGCCGCGAGGTGCCGCGCGATAAATATAGTACGGCCCGGCCGGACGTAGACCAAGAACGCGACCCGGTGATACGTCAATATGAATGCAAGAGCGTCGCGACTGCCACGACAGTTAGCGCGCGCGCAATTTTTCGAGCCGGCTGTTCTCCACTTTCCGCCCTTTTTATCATTCTCTCTAGCTCTTCATCCCGCGTCCTCATCTCCGTCGCCCCTAACCTTTACCCACCCGCACCGTTGCGTTTCGCGATAGAAGCGACGAGGGTTTTTGGGGAAGCGACCCGGGTTTCACAAGCGCTGAAAGTGACGACGTAAAAGCTGATGGTTGTAAAAGCTATGGCGGAGGGTGAAAGATAAAGAGCGACGGACGAACTGAGCGGGACAGTCGTTATACGGTGAAGGGAGGGAGGGAAGGATGGTGGAGAACGGGGTGAGAGAGAAAGAGAGAGTGCGGGACAGATGAACGGAAGGGACCCAGGGGAGAGACGGGACAGGACACGCACATATATATACACACACGGTAAAGGGTCGAAACGTGAGAAGGGAGGGATGAAGGGCCACGGAGAGGGGGGGGGAGCATGCGGGGGATCGATAATTCCCGTATTCACTCACCTCATATACATTCGGGTGCCAAACTTTTGTCATGAAACGAATGCTTGGTGGACTGTACGGATAATCCGGCGGGAACTTCATGTGTGCCTGTAACAAAGTAAAGCAAACTCGTCAACGTGTATTCTCAAAGTACGCGACTCGCCGACTTGTCGGCCGATACGCCTACGCGTGAGTCTACGCGAGAAAGAGGGAGAGAGAGAGAGAGAGAGAGAGAGAGAGAAACAGAGAGAGAGAGGAAGGGAGAGAACGTGTTCTACGCGTCTTCGCATAACGCAAGGCGAGGCGATGCGAGCCGAGAATCGAAACCGTTATAATTTCGGCGAGTTCAATGTTCGACACGCGCGCAGAGAAAAAATGCGTGTGTGTACGACCAGCGTCAGTCGCCGCGGTTCCGTTGTCACGAATAAACGGGAACTCGCTCGCGTGTGCCTAACAACGTTGACATCTAAACTCGCCGAAAATATCTCGACTTTGATATCGCAGAGACCACGAGCCGATACCTACGAGGGAAGCCCTCGACGAATCCCGAGCGGACTTTTCTCAAACGACACGTAGTGTGGAAGATACCACACACACACACATACATACAAACAGCGTTCGTTCACGGAGATGCGCGATATTGGAAATTAGCTAGTCGCTGTGAATAAATTCTGCAAAGCTCTCCCTTGGCACAGTCTTTTCTGCCTCCCTTCATCGAGGAAAAATCGCGAATGCAAAATGATGATAAAAAATTTATATATATCCGCCGAGTCAATACGGTAGAAGTGGGACACCCTGGTACGAGCCATGAATGAAGACATCGGTGTTCCACGATGCTGCGAAAGTAGAACAACATGGCCGTCTAGAGCGTAGCCAAGATAACACGACAAGATGTAAAATCGGGAACGCGCGGGAGGCCGACGTGAAATTCGACGTTTCGATCGCGGCACGCCGACGCCGGAGAGGATTGCGACAATATCGATTTCCATTCCGGTGCGAGAAAGGGGCGTCTGGCTGTTCGATGTGCCAGGCTTCGTCGAAGCTTTGCCGTCGGGACGCTATATTGATCGCGACCTGGTCATGGCCCAAATATCCACCTCGTCCTCCGGGATAACCGCGTTCTAGAATTAACCTACTTTCTACCGGCTGCCGCTCTCGCACATACGGCGTCGCGAAAAATCTACTCGAAATCGCGTCGCGTCCGTCCCTGTGTTACTCGCAAGTTGACGGCGCTGTCGCTTTCCGAGTAATTTTCCTCGTGCTCGCTCTCGCATTCCCTTGAATTTTGAATCCGAGCGAAACGCCGTTACGACGACGCGGAATTGAAAACATGTTTTATTTACGTTACGGTAACGTGACGTGACGATATCGGTAATATTTAAGGCAGCCCTCATCGGAGTGTGTTTTCATGAAAAATTCATGTGCTCTCGTAGCAGTCAAATCGTCGTCCACGCTTCTCGTGTAGTAATCTTTCGCGTTTGCTCGCTGCGCTCGCGCCAGGACGCCGGATCGGTTGAATTAAATATTTAAATCAAGTCAAATCTATCGATATTTGGCTTGTCGTTTCCCCCGCTTGGAGCGAAACAACGCACGTGCACCGAGTGACACCGCAACCATGTGACACCGCAATATCGATCGTGTTTATCAGCGCGCGATCTCGCATGACATTCCCGGAAAATATTCCGAGAACTGTCTATAATACGAGCTTTCCGCTTTTTACGACGGCATCCCGTAGAGCTTTCGCGTGTCGAGGTGTGTATATCGCGATCGTCGTCGTCGGCGAAGGTCGCTTTTGTGACAAGGGTGACCAAGATTTACGAGGGTTTTCGCGAGAGATGCTCCGGAACGATCACCTCGCCTCCGTCTTCCGTTGCAGCGTTACACCGTGCGCCGACCTAGAAATTTTCACGACCCACTTCGGCAATAAGCGCCGTTTGATCATCGTCCGTAACACGGTGTTGTGTAACGCGAGGCGGCACTGCGACGACGACTCTCGAAACCGGCGGAACGAGTCACTTTTCCGACGGCAAATCGATTCGGCCGAACGTTTCCTTTTTTTTTTCGCCAACGCCATTGTCGTCGTCTCTCTCTCTCTCTCTCTCTGCGATTTGTTCATAATTCAAAACTGCGGGGGCGGGATCGGCTTCGAGCATGAGAATAAAGCTGGCAGAGCGACACGCCTCGAGGAAACGTATCGGATGTAACGGTAAACGCTGCGCGCGAGTCGAACATGAAACGCGCGTCCGAGGTGTATGAAAATAAATCGCTGGGTCAACCTTGCGTTTGAAATCCAATTTGTCGTTCCTCATTCACCCGTCGGGTCTCCACGGTGTTATCGATAACGCTGTCGCGGCTAAAATTGAATATTAATTCTTACGCCGGCGATTCTTTCGTCCGAACGTCCGCCGCGTTTCCTTCGATCACCCCGTAACGGACAGGCGGCTCTCACGACGACGTCGAAGACGCGGGCAATCCCTTCGTCGGAATCAAAAAGGCCGAATCGACGACCGCTTCCTGCACGTTGCGTATCGACTATCGATTCTCGCGTGGTCACACTCTCGTGGAAAGTTCTGGTCGTCGTGAGATGCCCATCTCTCGGCGAGGTGAAAGGATTAAGTCCAGTCGAAAAGAAGCAGACGACGGGTTCCGTCGCCGTGGAAAACGAAACGACGACGATGTATCCCACCGGGGTGACGAAGCGGGGTCGGTCTCTCATTATCAAGAGGCGCTTTATTTATTAAGAATAGCGGAAGTCGGCTTCTCCTCGGGGCGACAGCAGCGTATCGGTTTGTTTGTTTTAAAACGGAACGGAGATTAGGTGAAAGTTGGCCGATCGGTATAGGGCTCGCTTGCCGCCCAAGAATAGAATCGAGACAACGCTCGATGGCATTTTATGTAACTTGGCAGCGTCGTGTGCCTCCTCTCCTCGTCGCGCTTTTACCGTGCCGTGCATAAATTCTGACGCGGGGAGCCCTCGAATGACGCGCGGTGACGAGCGCCCGATCTCCGTAAGGGCTTCGGACGAAATCGTCGATCACGATCGAACGGCGCCCGCAGAGAGCACTCGCGTCTCCATCGTGCTTGAGTCACTGAAATATGGCCCGCACTCTGGAAGAGACACCGGGCCTAAAAACGTGAGGCCAACTTTAGGCCACCTTTCCTCCCTTCGGTCTGTATTCTGAAATCACTCTTATCGATAGAAGTGCCTTAAACGTGGCTCCTCGGCTGATCGAGTAGTTCCTACGCCAACTTCAGAGGCACTTTCATCGATGAAAGTGAATCCAGAACACGGACCTTTGTCTTAAGCCATATGTGTCGCTCTCTTTAGAAAGAGATAGGTTAGGTATGAGTAAGAGATAAGTTGCCCTAAATATCTATCTGTCTCAGTCATGTTTTCCGTACGTGGGTGTTATATGGCAGCGCCTCTTTCAGTATACTCTTTCAGTATTTCAGTGTCTAGAGCTCTTTATAATAAGAGTTTGGACACCGTTATCTGATTTTTTATTTCATCGGCTCCGCCATGTTTGAATTTAAATTCAGGTTGAGTCGTATTCCGGCAATAGGCAAGAGTCAACGCAAATCTAGTTGTATCATCTATTATCGTTATCTTTACCAAATGCGAAGTAAGCACGTGATGGCAACAAATGATAACACATCAGACCAGTGTCTTTCGCTGGGAAGTAATCAAACTTATCAGCTGAGTGACAACAACCAAATATTCCCCATCTACGAAGTCTACGAAGCGTGTTAGAAAAGAAAAGTGATATTGTGCGTTTCATATTGCGGTTAATTACTAATTTCTTGCAGTTTGCACCTATCTTGGTAGTATTTCAAGATTTCGCGTATTGCACGGTAAAAAGTTTCGTGTTAAAAAAAGGTTCACGGAAATTACTGCTCGTTACTTTAACACGGAGAATATATTTAAAAAAATACACAAATAAATTTTAAATAAATTTAAATAATTTTAAATTAACGTATTCACTTTGTTAAAGTAACACGGAAAATTGGTGGACCATTTGTAACGCAAGATATTTTACCGTGCACGGTGAACTTCCGGTTTTTGACCCAAACATGGCGGCCACAGCGGCGGCCGTCCAGACTCTTATTATAGGGACTCCGTTGCTCCCGAGCGGGAAAGCGTAATTGTTCGCGGTCGTGTAACGTCGGGACGCGCTCTATTCAAACGCGAAAATGAGACATCGGCGCAACAATGCGGCGAATGCGGAACATTTTTTCCGCGCCGATCCCCATTGTTTTCGGGACAATTTTACATATGCATCGAGAAAGGGAATAGAAAACACCGCGGAATGCGCGCCGGTCGTCGAAGTATCCGTCGACCTCGTCGTTCCTCCTCTTAATATATCGAATAAAGCGTTCTCGTGCGCGCCAATATTTTTCTTCCACTCTCCCCCTCGCCCCTCCCCCGCAAAGTTATCCCCGAGCAACTAGACGCGTACAGGAGCCAATATTTTTTCTCATCCGCCGCGATTTCGGTCACAAACGCCGAACGTACAATGCGGGGGGAGGTAGGTTTAAACGCCGGCACGAGAATCGTCGAAAGTAGTTCCTCCCGTTCGAAATGTTCCATTTCGCTTTAACAAGGTGACGAACGTCGAAAATGAACGAAGGCAAAACGCGATCGGATCGCATGCGCGATTCGCATATCTGTATTATCGAGTCATCGCTACGATCGCGCGCTCGCCGTGTATCGCGGCGAAAATCTCTCGATAAACTCCCGGTTACGCGACGCGTTTACAGACTACCGAGTAAACTCTCCAATGAAGCGATCAAATCAAATCCATTACGAATCACAAGCGAGACCGCTCTCGTCACCTTATATCCGCGCTATTTATACGTATTAAGGCTGCCGCAATGCAGCCGATGCCGCTCTCGCAGGATCATTATCCAAGGCGCGCCGGACCCGACGCAGTTCTGCTCCATAAATCGCGGCGGACGATCGAAAACACGGACGCGCGCGAACGGAGAGTTATTCATCTACGAAGCGTGATACCCGGAGCGTGAGCGCGAGGCGAGAGAGAGACTGTTTACCTGAGCGCAACGCCGATCACGACGCGAGCGTTCACCGGTTAAGGGCTAACGTGATTACGGTAAAGTGGATAATAGATTAATCCACGGCGCGTAGCGGCGTGACGGTGGGTCGCTCGCGCGCAGTCTTTCGAAATAGCCGCGCGGACGGATTTATACGCCGCCGGTATACACCTGGGGGATATATAAGGTTTACGCGAGAAACGACGTTGCACGGTCGCCGCCGCTCGTTACCGTTGCTGTTACGTTGTGGGAAGACACATTGCGTTACGTGAATAGGCGCGTTCACTCGTCGCGTTTGCGACGAGGCAGTGAGCGGAGTTTAGAAAGCGGGCGGCGGGATGACGACCGCCGCCCGACACACCGTGCGGGATATGCGAAAAAGTGTATACCAACCGCGGCAATGACGGGGACTCACTTTGCAGTCCGGCGTTTAACCCGGCCGGCCCGGCCGTTAAGACCACTACCGCCCGCCTCCCCGCTTATCTCACATATCACGTATATTGTGTATCGCACGATTACGTCAGAAGAACGGGGAGTTACGCGAGAATCCTGCCGTCGCGTTTCGAGGTGGACCCGCGCGCCCTCGTTCTGTAACTTTTCTACGCGTATACGCGTTACGAATCTCCGCGCGGGCAAAATGTACAGCGAAAAAATTGGCCGATCGCATCGGATTCCCGGGAAAAAATGATTGTATATCATTATATAAAGTCATACGTGAATTTTGCCCATATATTATGTCTATGCGAGGGAAAATTACGTTGTCATTTGGTTAAATGTCGATATCGTGTGCTGCCAGAAGCACAAATAGCCAGAAGCATTTACTACGATTGTATTTGCACATAATTTGCAAACAATAGTAACTTTTCGCCGTGGGGATTACATGTGCGGGCAAATTTCACATATGATCTTTTTTCCCCGGGTCGTTTCTCTTCTACGGCCGAAGATTAATTAACTGTGACCGGTCAGTTTGTTTACTTCCTACGTCTTACTGCTCGCGTTTTTCTATTCGCCACGGCCCTTACGGAATAATAGGGCGGGCTCGATTTTCTCGCCTCCGGCGTTGCGTATAAATAATTCGTATAGCATGAGGAAGTTTGCACGCAGGCTGTTGCAAATTCGCAATAAAACGAGTTCCGATATTAAACATGCAATGAGGCCAATGTTTGCATCTGATTGTTGCATCGTTGCGTTATTTAATTTCACGAAATATTAATGCGCCGGCGGGAGAGGTGAAGCGTTCAGGTAACATTGCGACGCGACTATTGTCACTCGGTTCGGTCAAGGTAGTCGCGGTGTCTCGTGTGCGATCGTCACGAAGTAGCTTGGCAGAGAAACTCTAAAATTTCCGAGATAAACATTGGCTGAGGTGAGACAAGGCGGCCATATGCGGCCGAACTCGAAATCCCGCAATAGCACACGTGCGAACGCCGTTCGGCGACATCGATGGTCGATAACGGCGACTATTTAAGTCATTTCGCTATCGGTTTGGACGTGGATATCAACTTACCGTTACCGCGACATCGATACGTTACGTAATTCGAATTTGTTCTAAAACAGTTTCCAAGCGCGTTTTATCCGCAGTAACCCGAGTAAACAGAATATTAACAAACCGCCGTCTAAGCGCGATAAGCAGGTACGCGAAACCGCTAAATACGTAAACACATCGGTCCACAATTTATTATCGAGACGTCGAAAGATAACTTGAACTTGGCGTTTAATTGCGCTGAGGGTAGTTCGTTGAGCAGAGAGAGAAAGAACTTGGACGCGACTTAATCGCGCGGAAAACGTGAAATTAATTCGACGCTCTCGATACTTCGTCTTTCTTTCTTGCTCCCTTTCTCTCTCTCTCTCCGCCTTTTTCGATATTACATTAACAGAAGAGCACGCCGAGTGTTCCGACGCGCGCGAACCCGCGAGACAGAGGTAACCGTATCGAAATTGCACTTTCGCGACACCGCGCGGAGATAACTATTTCGCGTCGCATTTAGCGCAATGCATCGCTCCTGCGGCACGTTTATTACCCAGCAAATCGAAACGGGCCCGTCAATAACATCGATCGGGGGGCAGTTGCGTATTACACGCGAGCAGAAAAACCGGAATACGCCGAATGAGCGACACTTTGAAAAGTGTCAGAGGCGCGAGCCGAATGTGGGGCTCCCTTTGTTTACGCTCTCCGCGCCGCTGAGACGGAGAAAGAATCGCTCGCCAAGGTGCAGCACCGGGACGATCGACACCCGGCCGCGTCTCGCGCCGGAAACCGATCAGCTCTTTTATTCCGTTCGCCGAGGGAAAGGAACGAACGCGGGGCAAAGCGACGCTACGCAAGGTGACGCGACGCGTCACGTCGCGTTCCGACATAACCAAGAACGGACGACGTGTATATCGTTGCAATAATATTACCGTCGATAACGCGCGCATAACCCGCCGCTCGAGTACACGCGCGCGAAAGCATACGTTACACGCGGCGTCCGAGAGAGAAAGAAAGAAAGAACGAGAGAGAAAGAGACAGACACACGCTGTAAACAGCCGTAACACTGTACCTTGAAATAACCGCCCTGATAGAGCGTGTCAGGCGGACCGAAGATCGCGACTTCCCACTCGAACATGTTGTCCTCGTTGACGAGTTTGACGCGGAAACCCTCGACGGGCTCCTCCTGCAGGCTCTTGTACTCCAAGGCTAGCGCCCGTAAAGCGCTGCTCGTCGGCTGTGCCATAATATCCAACTTCTCTCCTCTTCCGCTTGTTCAGCACCAACAGCGCGCGACGACGAGTCCGTGAACGACCGAGAGGGACTCGCGCTCTCGCCCGTCGAGTGTGGCCGCCGCTTAACGAACGGCCGAACGACGACGACGTGTCGGACGCGTCCTTTTTTGCGCGGAGCACCACGACGCAGCACGCTGCGGATAATGAGGGAGGGAGGATTTCGGCGAAGAGCGAGCGAGAAGTCCGAGAGGCGAGCTACGACGACGACGAGGAGCGCGGATTCACGACGCGAACACGATGCGACTCGGGTATCGCGCGAGGGTTCGCTCGTGGAGACCGCCCGTGAGCGAAGCGCCAGGCCACCGCGTTCTCTCCCTCTCTCTCTCTCTCTCCCGATCTATGTCTCTTTTCCTCTCTCTCTCTCTCTCTCTCCCTCTTCCTCCTACTCTCGCGCTCTCCCTCACACTCCGTTTCTCTGCCTTCTCTGGGCGCGTACGCGATGAACAAAGGAACGCGAGATTGCTATGACGGTGTAACGGCTACGAGAGAGAGATGCCCCTCCGAGTCAACAATGCAACACCATTCCCGATGACGACGGACGGGAACACGCACGCACCTCTGCCGAGAGCCTTAACAAAACAGCTGACGTACTCCCTGCGTCAGCGATCCGACCGTCGCGCACGCGCACTCCGCACTCGCGAGCGGCTGGCTCGTCGCCTCCGGTTAGACACCCTGCAACTGAACAGTCAATCGGATTTTAAATGTCGGCGAGAACAACGGGGGGAGACATGTCGCAATAACGGGAGGGAAAGAGTACGTTAGTCGAGTCGACGGGCGAGTTAATTGTCGAGTGATTTTTAGCGAACGACTGCGATCGATCACAGTGTTACAATGTACAGGCTGAACGTCGAGGTGTCACGTGTCGCAAAGCGTCGTTGTGATTGGCTTGTATATGCGTTGAAGACATTTATTCGGGAAGATTTTTATCGTTTTCCCCGAGCTTGTTAATGCTATGTTGTCGATAGTTCGTTCGTACACGAAATTATTCGCGTCACTTTCACTCAGTTGAAAGAGACTGGAAGTGACTCAAGATGGCGGATTGCACGAAGCATTGCTCGAGACTCTACTGTCGAGCATTGGACAGCAGAACGTTTTCCACTTCGCACGCGGCCGCTTCGAGAACCTTCTTCGGTAATATCCGAGCGTTCACCTCGCGGATAACAGCGCGTTTTCAACGAACGTCGGGTGTTTGTACGAATGATTGGCGGAGGGATATCCAATCATTCGCGGCGATTTATACTCGACACGTGCAACGAAGAAAGTACTACTTGTGGAGTATACTAACGTCGCAAATAGTTCATGACGCACATCAATTACGCGAGTTAGCATGACTGTTTATAAATAATATTTTCGAAGCTCAAATGTTAACCTTGTTCAAGCTGCTATTTCGCGTCAAAATAACATGATCAAGCGAGTGGAGATAAATGTAAGAAATTATAAAAAGGAAACGGAATATGTGCCGAAACTTGACAGAATAATTCTATTTGTTATCTATAAGAGAAAACCGAGAAAAAATTTCCTTCATAAAAGTCCCGCCAATCTACTTCATTTCAAATGAAGTTCGTGTTAAATTTTTTAAACGTCCTTTACAGAAATTGAAGTCATTAACCTCTTATAAATGCAAAACACGTCCTTCTCTTATAATGCGATTAAATACATACACACAAATTACATCAAGGAATGACTAAGAATTATAATTAGTTGAAATACGTGTGAAACACTGCGTATACTTAAAAAAAAATGTGAAAAAGTTATTTTCATATTTTGTTCATGATCGAAAATTAGTATAATCAAATTGCATAAGACGAATATTCATCGATATATGAAATGTGTACAAACTCTTTCCTTCCCCCGTCTCTCATGTTGAACTCATCTTGTCGACTCGTTGTTAGCTGTATGAAAAATTATTCTATTCCTTTTGTTATATCATTTTGCAAATACACTATATGTTATCGCTCACGAGAGAGCATATATATATCGCATGGATAAGATATTTTTCCTGCATGAAAGTCGCAGAATCACTGTTAATTCTCTGGTCTTTAACGCATGATTCGGGACATACGTAGTCACTGTTATAATCACTGTACTAATAGAACTGAAGAATATCAAAAAGCAAAGAAAAAGGATATCAATCCAGAGATCCTCGGTTTCTGGGACAGTATATCGGTCTTAAAAATATTGACGATGGTACTATTAACGGGACATCAACGATTTCGAAAACAGATATATATAACAAGCCTGACATGTATTATAAAAATATTTAATGAAATACGATACGTATCGGTGCTTCCGACGTTATTTCTACTTTATATAATATTAAACTCCCTGCGAGTTCTCAAGAGGGCCCCTAATTGAACAACAAATGATAAGAAGATTATGGATTTTTTGGGCTTGATAAAATGGCGTGAGAATACAATGTTTATCGGTTATACTTAAAAAGAGTAAAACAACTCGGTTATACGTGCGGCAATATCTCTATAGAGATACAAAACCGACATATGTCAAATGAGATCTATATTTTCTATATTTGGACGGGGGCAAATAAGATCAACTGGTGCTCAGAATTACTTTAGTTAATATTAAATGATAAAAGTCGAGCAAGACCAGAAACTCCTTCTGTCACGGAGAATCTTGAACCATGATTGCATACTTCATTCCACGTCTGGAGGACGAAGGCATTGAATCATTTAAACTCAACGGCCTCTTTCGGCGGTTCATGCGACTATCCGTAGTTAGTAATTTGCAAACGGTATTACGCAGTTTCATGCTTTATAATTCACGCGTATGGTCAGCGACTAGAAGGTTATAATTTTTTTCTTTTCTATGGATTGCGTAACGCAATCTCGTATCTAATAGGAAAATGTATCTCCTGAAAATCCATCCAATCCACAACAAGAACAAATTTTCCTACGGGACAGAATGCGTTCCAAAACTTGTAAAACAAAAAGTGTCACAATCTTTTTGCCGCTGGCCATACGTTCGTGAACTGCACATACATATGTACGACGCGATGATATACAGCATTGTGAAGAGCAATAAAGCGAAAATGGCATATGACGATCCGGATGTGGAGTGTGTACAAAGGGCGCACTTAAACGACCTGGAGAATATCATGCCATGGTTCATAACGGCTGGTTAGGCACCGGGCCTTCGGTGGCATTGGCGAAGACACTGGTACGAACCTTCGTGCTTTCTCGAATAAATTTATATCTTGTCGCACGCGGTTATGCCGCAACAGCCCACCAGAGCTATATCTTTCTTCGTTGGGTTTCTCATTATGGCGTCATACTAGGCGTTTATCTCGTTATTATATTATTGCTAATTTCACGTGCAACGATTAAGCAACGGAGAACAAATACTATCACATATACTATATACTGCATCTATACTATATATTAATAACAGAAATGATGGGTTCTAACTGAGAATTATAATTAGATGAGATATGTTCGAAACACTGCGTATACTTTTGAGAAAAAGTGTAAAAGCAATTTTCATACTTCGCTTATAATTGAATATTGGCATAATTAAATTGTTATTTATTCATCATTAATTCTGTCATTCATTCTGTCCTCCTCTTGTGTTAAATCTTGCCAACTCATCGTTAGCTTATGTAAAACTGTTGTTCTACTCTTTTTGTTACACCGTTCTGGAGTGTAGTGCATGTTATCGTTCATGAGTATATATATCGCACGGATATGGTCTTCCTTCCCGCAGACGCATGCGAGTCGCGCGAGTGTACGATCACTGTTAACTCTCTGGTCTTTCCTCTAACGCGTAGTACGGGATATACGTGTTCACCGTTATAATTACGCTACCAGTGAAACTAAAAGAGTATCTGAAAGCGAGTATCTGAAAGCGAGGAAATATGACTAATATCAATCCAGAGACCCTCAAGGTATTCGGCTTCTGGGGCAGTATATTGGTCCTTAAGGTACTGGCGATGTCGCCGTTAACGGCTCGCCAACGATTTGCAAAACAGGTATGTAGCCCGGCATATGTTATAAAAATACTTAATAAGATGTGACACGGATCGGCGCTTTTGACACGTTGCGTTATTTCTACTTTTGACACGTTGCGTTATTTCTACTTTATATAATATTGTACTACCTGTGCTCTCGAGAGGTTCCCTAACCGAACGATAAAAGATAAGAGGACGTAGATTTTAGTTTTGCTTGATAAAATGATCTGGAGATATTTATCGGTTACATGGTTGCGGCAGTATCTCCACAGCAATACGAAACCGACGTGTGTCAAATCAGATGTATAATTTCTGTAACTATTATAATATATAATATATATTTCTGTAACTATTATAACTATTATACTATGTAACTATTAAATATTTAACTAACTAATATTTGGACGGCAAACAAGATCAACTGATGTTCAGATCACAAATTATTTTAATTAATATTAAATAATAAAGATCGAGTGAGACCACAATCACTTCTGTCATAGAGAATCGCGAACCATGACTCTACGCTTCCTTTCATGTCTGGAGCACAGAGGAACCAAGTTATCAAACTCAACGACCTCTTACGGCAGTTCACGTGACTGTCGAGGTTCTATGTCGACATAGTTAGATTGCAAGCAGTATTATGCAGTTTCATGCTTTATGATTTTTTTTTCTATGAATTTCGTAACGTGAATCTCGTATCTAACAGGAAAATGCATCACCCGAAAATTACTAAGAACAAATTTTTTTAAGGACAAAATTTATGAAAGAATGTCGCAACTTTTTTATAGCCGACTACACGTTCATTAATTACATTCACGCATGCACAACGCGATAATATGTATTTCCATAAGATCACATTTTCATAGTTATCATCTGCGCAGTACACAAGATAAATGTGGAAGTACCATTTTGTTAATGAACGTACGTCGTTTATTGTGATACTTATCGTAAACACATTATGTTGGTTTCCACACACACACACTCACATACACGAATCTACCTATTTTGTAAACGTTGTCCTGATTGTCTTCAGCCATTGCCTAAAGCGCTCATAACATGGCGAGTGGCTATTTTTAAATTATGCAACTATGGAAAAATACAGTCTTATGAGAGATATGTTATATCACGTTAGATTATCAAAGACGTGTGTGCGCGTAAATGTCTACAAAACAGCCGGTGATATAATTAACTAAAAATAAATATTGTATACGAATATTGTATGCAATTGTATTGTAAGCTAATTATGCACGCGTATACCGAGCGATGGGAGCGGTCGGTAATATCAATACTCTTCAGCGAACTTGCCGGGCTGGTATCGTGCGAACTCTCAGCGGATTTTTTTTCCTTTCACAATTTTTCACTCATCCTTGACCCGATTCTTAAAACTTATAAATAATTTTTACAGATATTCGCTAATCCCGAAGATGTTAGCTTAGCGAAGAACAGTAAAGCGAAAATAGTATACGATGATCCGGATGTAGAGCGTGTACGAAGGGCGCATTTAAACGACCTGGAGAACATCGTGCCGTGGTTCATCATAACGTACATCTGGTTAAGCACTGGGCCTTCGGTGGCGTTGGCGAAGATACTGATACGAACCTTCGCGCTTTCCCGAGTAGCTCATACTTTGGCGTATGTGATTATACAGCAACAGCCCACCAGAGTTATATCCTTCTTCATTGCGTATCTCATTATAGGATACGAGGCGCTTGTCTCGTTATTGCATTATTGCTAATTTTATACGCGATTATCAAGCGACGATACAAATATCTAACAGGAATGATGAGTTTTATATATGCGCACAATCCAGCAGCACAAGCCAGTTGGCTAACTATTTCCCAATGTTGGCCGAACGTTGGGCAACGACGAGCCAACCGATTTGCGCGGCTCGGGTAATAACGATGATACTGCTTCTCGGAGATTCGTAGGCGAAGTTCGTAACTATTAAAACCGAAAACTGTCATATTCGTACGGAGCGTACATAATATGTTCACGTATGCTTCCCAAGAAATACATAAACGTACTTTAGATATCGCGATGAATTTCACAAGAGGGTGTTTCAAGGCGGTTTACAGAGTGTAAAATCATCAGATGCAGTCCGACGTATTTTCGGTGGAACAAAGCTAGTATCATATATATAAACGCGTACTATATTGTATAAGGCCATTTCAGTGAAATATATAAGCGGCAAATGTTTACAACAAGTTCACACGCCGGCACCTCTTAAAACCCGAAGCGCAACGTGACGGCGTCGTTTTGCTCTTTGTTATTCTTACCATTCCCCAATTACACTCGGAAGACGCGAAACGATGATACATTGAAAAGCTCGGACGCATGTCACTTACATACCGCGAACGATTCGCGATAGCTTTCGGCCGCGCACGCGTTTTAACACCCTTGCAGGGCGCATACGCGAGTTTTGTCATACGCGGTCGTCATGACGGCGGCACGGCGACGCCGACAAACGCGGGAACGTCAGACGTCGCGATGCGTCTGTGACGTGCCAGTCGTAGCCGCCGTCGGTGCCGCGGCGTCGTTCGACGATCGAACATGCGACGATTCGCACCTTCGCCGCGTTGATCGCGAAAACTCGCCCGATTCTCGAAGCGCCGACGCCGAATGCCGAATTGTACCTGATACCAGCGAAAGTGCTGAAAACCGCCTCTGTTCATCGCCTGCCGAGAAATCGATAGGAGTGGCGGAGTGATCAAGAGACGCACGATCGCAGGTAAGTGATTTCTTTTTTCCTCTACTTTTTTCCTTCTTCAACGTCAAGTAACAAAAACGTGCGCACAAAAACGTGCCGCTGATTTGAATTGCAAGTTAAACAACGAGAGTTTTTAAGAGTCACGCTCTGTGCGTGGCATCTAATCGCGCGACGTACCTATTTTCCCTCTCTCTCTTCTCCTTCATCGCTCCCACCTCGTCGTTTTTATTCCGTTATTATCTCAAATAGTTTCACCACATTTCTCTCACATTGATCGCGCCGTTGTACATGCATGAGAGAGCACCACCTGGAAAATAAGCGAGGTTGAGGCGTCAGCGGCTGAAAAGCGCGCGCGAGAAATTCCTTATCTTATATCCATGCAATTTTCCCCTTTGTCCCGGCGACAAACACAGGATCTCTATGAGTTACACGCGAGCGGAATCAAGAGAACGGATCGTTCCGTCTCTTGCGGCGCGCGATTTTCCGGATGGATCGCGAGTCTTTTCTTCCCCCTCCATCCTTTGGAAAAGCCAGTTGAACGATTCTTTCTCACGTGCTACGGTTTGCATAGGGCGGTACAAGAAGGCGTGTGCCTTATCGAAAATTGGAACCGAGTTTCCAACTTCTTTACGCGTCTGATAATTTCCCGAGCTGTTCGCTCGCTGAATGCATTTTCTCGGGTCGGGTCAGGCTAAGCGGTTATACGGCTCGAGATTGAATGCAACGGCAAAATCTAATCTCGATCGCGATAAGAAAGTTAACACTTCTTGCGGCGAGTGAGTGAGTGAGTGAGTGAGGGGGAGAGAGAGAGAGAGAGAGGAGTTCTTTTCAGAAAATAAGGGAGAAGTAATTTCGCGCACGCAGAATTTAAGCGTGCGTCGATAATTTCGCGCGCTAATTCTTCACGCCGACGAGTCTTATTCCCGTCCTGCAGCGACTACTGGAAGTATTCTCCTCCACGGAAGCGCCAATGATACCGTAACGCGTTTGCCAACGGTGCGCCAATGTTTGCCTACTTTCCGGAGCTTAGGGCGTTATGAAATTTTCTCACGAACGGTACACATCGCGGTGCGCGTAGAAAGATTCCTCCGGGCGGTCCTGTTTTATTACAAGGTCTCTCACGGAAGTATCGATCGCGCGATTAATTAACGTTTCTACGAATGCGCGATATTTATCGTTTCGATTCGGATTCGCGATTTCGGGAGAGAGAGAGAGAGAGAGAGAACGGTCCGTGCGCTTTCGCGCGCTCGGAGTAATAACGCCCGTTACGCGATACCGCGGACTATCGTACCAACAATATTTGCGACAACATTAATGCAAATGGACAAATCTCAGCGTTGTTTCATCAATACCGTCCGTAGTAACCGTATTTGGCACATATAGATCGCACACACGGTGCTTGAGTGCATGCAAGTAAACGCTCGTTACCTCAGAGATGCGCATCTTGCAAGGGAGGTTTCCAGTAAGGGCATTTCCACGCGCTCGCTTAGCGAAACGAAACTCACGTCTGTCTCGAAGAGTCCCGAGATCAATATTAATATGATATTAATAAATATGTTAATGATAATATAACGTTGATAATGCGAGCTTACTATTGTTTTTCACGTTATTGCAAAAGCAGCTTGTCACTGCTGCTCGAGAGGACTATGTTTTTCTTCGATTCTATTCACGACCGCAACAAAGTTTCTATTCAGCGCACGGCTCAATCGGTGCTACGTTCAACGACCGTAATACATAACATACCGGTTTCGAGTATCGAGATACCGGTATTTTGGCATTTATTACAAGCCCAACTGACCAAATGCGCAAGAGATATTCAATACGAGGGAATAAAGACTTCGATTTAACTAAGAAATTCTACCTGTGTTGGTATCTCTCTTATCTTACACATCGATATAAGAATGTGACCGAGTACGAATTTATTTATTTATTTATTTAATTTACCACATTCAAAAAAGAAAAACAGCATTTGTTGCATCTGTGTTTTGCAAAACGTAAAACGTAGATTAAAATTTACATTATCAGACTCCAACGCAGCTGCGCTCGCGTTATTTAGCTAATTACGCCGAAAAAATCTCAATTCACGTAATTAGACAGGCACCAAATTGAAATTCGCTGACGAGAAAATTGTATCTCTGTTGTTGTCGCGAACCTACGCGATAATAGCCAGCAACGATTCGCTGATCAAGATCGAGACTTCAAGACAGCGGGGAATCGATATCGCGGCAAAGAGACATTCAACGTTCCGATACATTCGAGCTGTTTGATGAAACGCCGTTTTTAGGAAGGAGTTATTATTACGAGCCCCTTTGCGCCGCTCGTTGTCACGCAGGTCCTGCGTCCGAACGGCCGGCGGCGCGTCGCTCAAAGGTCGAGGCCCCGGTTGTAATCGATATTTGAGATATTCACGTTTTTTTTTTTGGAATATAGCAAATATTAATTAGCGTTACACAGCGTTGCTCCGCACAGCACGCATGCATGCGCGATTACAAAGCGGCGGTATCGACCACGTACCGTCCCTAAAGGCAGTTTAAGCACAAGGGAGAGCGCGTTCCATGCCGGTGCATGCCTGCGGCGGCCCGGCAGATGCACGTGGTGCGCGCGGTTATCGATAATCGCGTTCAATTTTCCGTGTCGCGTGGTCACGCCTTATGCGTGCGTGCCATCCGAAATTGCATTTCTCTGTATCGGCGGCTGTGACGCGCTGCCGCCGCCGGCTGCGATTCAATTTGTCCCAAGATTCTAATCGCATTTGCGAACGCTTCCACCCTTTGTAAGCAACGGACAGACGGACCGTATCTGCAAGCGCTGCCGCTTATCGATGCGGAGTCAGCTTTTCGCAAATCGCGACTCAAAGCCGCGAGATCGTGTCCCCCGTCGGTGAAAATCCCGGCGACTTCGGGAATGAGTAGACGAAGAGGCAGGTCTATTACGCGAGAGAAGAAACACACCATGCGAGAACCGCAGTGCGTGCGTACATGCGTACATACGTGCGTTTTAGTGTCACGGTCGCGATCTCGTTGAGCGCGTACAAGATCGCGGGGGATCTCGGCATCGGACTTATTCTCAGATATTTATCGCTGTATTAAGAATCCCCGGCGGAGACACCGCGGCCGATAGAGGAGCGAAACGGCTCGTGACATCATAGGCTGCAAATGCACACGCGAGGTCTGCGGCGGCCGGCCTACCCGGACGACCCCGGCGAGCGAAATTCGTGTGCCCGCTTATGGCGTGTGCGCGCGCGCGCAATTAGGACGCATGGAAATGTCGTACTTGAGAACCGGCGTATTGTCATCCTCGAAAGGAAAGGGCCACGGTGTGACAAACGCGAGTGGCTGCCGCTAAGGTCGCGTTGTCCCGCGAGAGTCTGACTCCGCTCGTGAGTCGTCCTTGAAAGGGAGGTCGCGTCGTGTTACGAAGAATCGCGACGAGAAAAAGGGAAGAAATAGGGGGAGAAAAAGAGAACGAAAATCCGAAGAATTCCGACTAATCGTAACGTAACACTGAAACAGTGTGCCCATTGTGAGCGCACGCACGATTGTACATCGCGATCGCGACGTGCGTGCGAGCTAACATCGTCTCACGTCCGATGACTTCACGGCACCGATATAGCGTTTCGGCGTTAAGAGGACGCCATGCTTACGCATACTTGAAAAACTTTACCGATATTGGATATTGCTTTTTTTTCTGCGAAGTTTACGTCTTATTGCTGCGGAATTACAGATGCTTTCACAGAGTGAGAAAGTACGCGTGAAAACGAGTTGAAATATTGCTCAGTATGCGGTGGAAATGATGAAAAATGTCGAAGTGTCTAACAATTCGAATAAATATTTACCTGATACGGAAACTCTGCAGCTTGCAGGGGAGACCGTGGTTAGTTAGTTCAAGGAGTGAGTTGGCTGATTGATTATTTCTGCTGTTTTCCGACAGAATCGAGCAAGCTGGGATTTCATCACCATCTTTGACCACGTTTGAAATCTTTACTTGGCAGCAAGTTGACGAACGACCATTCCCCTTACAACCCAAGAATAATCGACTTTAGTTGACCAATTTTTATTACGGTTAAAACCGTAACGGAAAAATTGCGTGACTGAAATTTCATCACGTGCTTTTAATCCGACCCGTCCATCTCGTGCGGGCGTGAGTACCGTCGGCGTAAGTATTTCGATCGCGACTCCGGTGGTATCCGGACACTTTCGCGTAATCGAGTACAAGCCGACGGACCGTTAATCGCGAAGGGACACACCGCACAGCCTCCACCCTAGACGGAGTTTTGCAGTTTCGCGTTAATTGAAATAACGCCGGGAATTGGAGTGCCGGATCAGAATCGCGCCGGTCGTGGCGCTTCTGATTCTCTGAAGGGGCTATAACACAATAAATTCGGAGCACTCTTAATCACCGAGGGAGGAGGGGGGTGGCGTCATTTTGCAAGATGCGTCTGGTTTTCTCTGACGCCAACGTAACGACGCGTCAGCGAGGAGGAGGTCAGGCTGCGCGTCGCTTCGTCTTAGGAGCGCAATTACAAAAGTTTCCCTTTTAACGTTAATTAATGAGAGTCCGCCGCGCACCGTACTTCATTATGGCACTATCCATTACGGAGGCAGAGCAGCCTCCTCCTCCTCTCTCTCTCTCTCTCTTTCTCGCTCGCTCTCGCTCTCTCGAGTTGGACATGCTTTCAATTCTCCCTCGAGAGAAAGACCGCGCCAAACTGATTTACAGAGAGCGATTGACTTTTTCTCCTCGCATAAAGTTAACCCCGTTAACCATAAGGATCCGCGGACTCGTTTTCTGCGAGAGACGGTAAGCGATTTTTGCGCGATTTCGGTAAGCGGAGCACGCAGCCAAGCCGTCGATATTTCTCGAAATCGTGACTGATTAAGGTATCCCACCGCCGCCTGCGTGGAATCGGATCGCCTGCGATTTTCCCGATCGGAGAAGCGTAAGTGGACCGACCGCGTGTGTTTCGCTGTACGAGGAATGAATAGTCATGCGCCTTACGTACGATCCGGGAAAGGGCAAGAGAGACTCTCGCGAAGACGGGATCAGCAGCGGTCTCGGAGAATGCGTTTGCGAGTCTAAGCCGCAATGTTTTATCCCCTGTTGCCAGTTGTGTGAAACGAACTAACCCGCAAGTCCGACGGATGATTTCTCGACTTGCGTTTGTTTTCGTTAACGCATAAAATAGCGAGATTTCTCAGAGCTGAAACGCAAAAGGCTGCGAGTTTTCTTTCGTGACACGCACACGGAGAGGAAAAGATTGAATTAATGCGGGAATGAACGAACGGGTTCTTTGTTGAAGGAAGCACGGCATTTTTCGCTCTTACGAACGATTCTTAGGACCAGAAATTCTGTTTCCTTCAGTCAAAACGCATTTGTTTCTGTTCATCACGGGAGAGGGGAATTAGCTGTCCATATAATACAACTGAAATTTCATCATCAGACCTAACGTTCAGCTGTGGGAATAATAAACTAGGGACAAAGGAAAACAGCTAAATTAATCGAGTGTCAATTGTATTACACGGACAGCTAATCTTTCAAACCAGTGGGAGCTAGTTTTTTAACCGTGGAAGCTGCTTCTTTCTCCCGTGTTTGTCACGTTGATTCGACCAATCTTTCCCAGCAATTACCGTCAGCGCAGTTTATTTCACGCAATAAGAAACGAAGAGACGAGGAAACTCGGTCTTCTCGTCCATTAAAATTCTTTCATCATTTCTTTCGCGACTCTCAACGCTCGTCTCGCACTCTCACAGCGAATTCGCGAATGCGTGAACCGGGTATCGGTCGGTCTCGAGAACATTCGTCTGGCAGACGCGGAGAGAACGATGCGCGTTTATGCATACGGCAGACCTCGGGTGTCACCCGCGTATTCACAGAACCATTCACGTTGCTCACAGTTCACGGATGACGCGCTCGATCGCTTACCGGTTCGCCTACAGATTTCGACGCATTCGCCAAATACGGCGCATCGGAGTCAAACCCGAGAAGCCGTAGCCGTCTGGTTTTCTACCCACGCCGTGACCCGCCGTCGCTTTTTACGGGAAACGCGAACAGACGGGCGCGGTACTTTCGCTCCTTAAGCGAAATGGTACGTGCGAGCGTCGGGCGTGAATCGGAAGTTTCTCGCGATTCAACGCGGAGACGTGCGCCAAAATTGGGAAGTAGAAATCGGGTACCTCTGCTTCATGTCACTCGATACGACGCTGTGTTTCTCGGAATACTTTTCACAGTTATTTCACCGATCCTTTGTTTTTTTTTTTTTCTTTTCCGGACGACAGTTCCGATTATGATGACGATCAGCGGGCGGAAGAGTCAATGCTTGTCCTATTTCTTTTTCGAAATAATTTTACGCGAGGAAAAGAAGTACGTTGTTTTATTCGAGATATTAATGCAAGTTAAAATACTTTTCTCTTCGAAGGATGAGGAGAAGATTTGCAAATATTTTTTTATACTCGAAGACAGACAGAGGATTAGACAAAGTGCGCTTACGCAAAGCTTCCCAGAAGCAAAGCCGGCGGAGAGCTGTGCCGTGAATAAATCAGCTTAAACTTCAATTCGATTGTTAGCGCAGTCGTCTGCGTGTCTTCATGTAATATGAAATAGATTCCGACGCTATTTGTCGCGTACAATGCACGCCGTCGGCTGTCTCTCCGGTGTTTCTCTCTGACAGCTGCTACTGCTCCGCTTAACTTAATAACACGTTTGATTACACACGTGAATCGCAATCACTATAAGAAACTGGCGTTCATTGAGACTAATAAATGCCTTTAAGAGGCGAGTGTACGTAAGCTTTTTTTTCACCAACGAAACACACCTCACGTCGACGCCCACGTCGGTGGATTTAAACATCTCAAAGTGAGCGTGTTAGCGTTTTGATGATATGAGAAGATTGCCCGTCCGGTTTACCACGAAGGACGCGTACAACGGGTATATGTATAGCAGGAAATAAATATAAATTGCGCAAATATAAACGACTTTACGACCTTATTTCGACGACTTAAAACGTTTCATCTGCCGGCCGTTTATCGTTTCTTTAATGCGCTTCTGCCAACTAACGATTTGTGACCACGTAATCGGCACGTATCAATTCGAGCGACTCGAGCCGCCTTATCGCGCGATTTTCGTCCCGATGACTCAATGTTTTCCGAATAACGTATGCGAGATACTTAGCATTCTTGAGGATCGGTTATCTTATCGTGGATGATCGCGGACTTTTGCTCGCATGGGCTGTTAATTAGGACAGAGAGGCGAATTTGACCGAGTCGATATTCCCCGTCAATAAGCTCGTGACAATCGCAGAAGCGACTGTTCCTTCGCGAATCGCAACTCGTTGGCGTCTATAACACAGCTAACTCTCTCAATCGTCTTGGAATAATAGACATCGGTGACACTTGTCGGTCACCCCGGGAGGAAACGACCACGGTCTCCGTCGTCGTACTTTTGTAGCCTACGTCATCGCCCGGTTTACACCGTGGCATCACGGATGGACCGGTTCTGCGAAGGTGCCCCCACCGATGTCACGTTCGCGGCACACTCGTCGGCCGCGATTTTTCTGCGGCTGCGAAACGTCGCGACGGAGAATTACAGGGCGCTGCGCGCGCGCGTGAATCATTGCTTATATACTAATATAGATATATAAGTGTCTCAAGGATTTTTCGGTTCACCCGTGGGTCACCACGCCCTTGTTCCCCCTCCCCCCCTCCCCATTGTCATCCACTGTGACCGTTCGCCATTTCGCGTATCCGATTGCGCGAGTCCCCGATTTTTTCACGTGTCGTCGTGAATTATATGATTAAAAAAAAGTTTGTAATTTCCATAATATATTCTCGTCGTAAAAACATTTCAGCATAGGCAAGAGCGAGAGGTATGTTGTCTGCACTGAGAGAAAAATATTTGGTATTTGTAACTGTACACTGTTGAAAAAAAAAAAAAGACACGGGGATCCATGTGGGAAATCCATATGAAATCCCATGAGATTGTCCCTGGCGATCTGCACGTCGCAAACTCAGGTTCTAGGTAACAATCCACATGAATTCCTGTATGAACTTTCGCACACCATGTGGAATCCTGCATGGATTTTTAATATCTCGTATGGATTCACGTAAGTTCTGTTGGATTTCCGTGGGAATCCACCTGGGAATTTTTCATCATCACGGTAAAAGAATTTAGTCGGGGAACCATTTTCTTTTTTATAATACAGCGTCAGTGACAATAACTTTACACGCGTGTTGTTATCGCTCATTTTTATCTCGAACCGTAAAAATGACATATAATTGAAGCCGAAGATTAACTATAACTTCTCCCCGGTGTGCGAGTGGAGAAGATAAAATATCTTTTTCTAGCTCGCGAACACGAGGAAAAATAGCAGTTCGGCTGACAACGCATGTTCAAAGCGATTACGGCTAACTGCATTACAATTCAGTTGTAAAAGCTTCATTTAAATGTGCGCGCGCGCGCGCGCGGGATTGCACTTTGCACAGGCTGGCATGGGTATGCGGGAATTTAGCTCGAAGTTTTATCCGCGCATAATGTGCGAGAGAGATCAACAGGTGCACACGCGCACACCGACGCTGGAAAGATAAAAAGCACCATATCCTGCGTTTACGCGAGTGTTGCGTAACGCGTCCGATGTGACACTGCGTGTGCGCGCACGTGCGCGTCGCACACACTCGAGGAAGCCGATGCAACATGAAATACCATCGAGCAATCCTAATTGCTCCCCGTTACACATAGCGAAAAGCGATAGACGACGTAAGCGATAGCGACGTAAAACAGAGAGCGCCTCAAGGTTGTCTTCGCGCAATTAACGTCACGTTTAACCGACGATAACGACGCGCCTATACGCGCTGGAAAGAATACCTCGCGAAAGTGGCGAGCGAGCGAGCGAGCGAGCGAGCATCGATTCTCCGTCGGGCTTCGTCGGGCATTCATAAAAATCCCGCCGACCGATTATTATTCCCCGCCTCTCGGGAATCGCAGGAGCCTCGCGAATCGGCGCTTCATCACGACCGTCGACATCGTCGACCCGCGTCTGTGGTCGCGGGGAACGGCAGCGCGGGACGAAGAGGAACAGAGCAGATAAGCCGGACGCGGGAGGGAGACAGAGCGAGTGGTCCCTCGCGGAGCGTCATCAACCGTGCGAGTGCGTTTTACCTACGCGAGCGGTTCTACACCTGGGAGAGTCGGCCGACTCGGTGTGTTCACGCCGGCTACAGGTCGACGCGCAGCCGGTATATACGCACAATACACGTGAACACGCGTCCCACGCTCTCTGTGTGTGCGGTGTGCGCGGGACACACAAGGATGGGTGGTAACGTCCCACGCCGGGCCACGTACGTACCGTACGTACCGTACGTGCTGAGGTTCGCGCGAATAAAGTAGGGATACACCGGCGGTGTTCTCGAGGCATAAAAGGTCCATGCTTGGTGTATGTCAGTGTCAGTGACGGGGAGAGGTACGGAGCGGAGAAGTGAGCAGAAGTGTGGTCACCTAGAGAGAGAGAGGGCTGACGACGGCGCGGGCGAGTCGGATCGTCGACGCCACATCGACTCGCGGTATCGAGCCGAGAACATCGGCATCACGCATCTCTCGTACACACGGGCGAACAAGCGAGAAAGGACCACGACGAACAGAAGAAACGAGTTTGTAAACGAGGCCGGTCACCGCGACAGCCTTCGGCTCCGGTCTGCTCCGGAGTGGCGCGGCCAGCGAGAGAGAGAGAGAGAGAGAGAGAAAACGGTGTAGTAAAGTAGTTGTATGTAAGACCGCGCGTGGAGAAGACACACACGTAGTCATCTCTAAGAGAACGTCGCCGAGTGCCGAGGATAAGCGAGTACACACGTCGAGCGATTAACGTACGGCTGACGAGCGAGTTTCCCGCGCGCGCGCGCGCGCGCGTTATCTGAGAAGTCGGGGAGACCGCTAATTCGACGGTGAAGTTACAGTGAATCCGAGAAGGGGATCCGAGAAAATCGCCGATGTGTATGTGTGATTTCTTGAGTTAACGAAAAATCAACGGAAAATCCGATCCCCCCGCTTCTTACCGCTTGTTCCACCGACGACCACGAGAGCTCGTGCGAAGATCGTAATCGAGTAACCAGGCTGTGAACGAGGCGCGAGCCATCGCGATGACCATTCACAAGAAAGGTGTCGGGCTGTCGAAGACGAAGGGCAAGGGGGTCGCGAAGAACGAGATGGCGACGAACTCGACGTCCTCCACGGACGTGGCGACCACGGAGACTGTCGAGGTCGTGTCCTCGAGCAGCGTGGTCGAGGAGTCGCGACAGGTAACCCAGAGCGAGTCCAGGAGCAGCGTGGTAGAGGTGACGAGCGGCAGTCGCGAGGTCATCATGGATTCGAAAGGTAACGTGATCAAGGTCATCGAGACTGCCCCGCGCAGCAGCGTCGAGCAGAGCTCGAGCCGTAGGACAGGCAAGACTTCCCAAGACTTCATAGCCGGCGAGCAAACGCAATCGATCAAGCAGGCGAGGACGAAACACGAGATCCCGCGCGAAGGCGCGGAGTCTTTCTCGGAGAGTCGCATGCTTCTTCGAGGAGAGGACGCGAGCGAGGAACGAGTCAGCCAGTCTGTGAGTCAGAGCGAGTCCCGCAGCAGGGTTCAGCAACAGTCGGTCTCGTCGAGCACCCTGACGGAGAGCACCTCGAGCGAAGACCGCACCGGACGTCGGTCCACCTCCCACGACATGAGGAACGGCGACCTCGCGCCCGTGGTCCAGACGTCGTCGAGATCAAGCGAGAGCGCTCGAATGAGCAGCGAGACGAGCGAGGCGATAACGAAGGACGGGCAGACCGTGTCGAGCACGACGAGGATCCGCGAGACCGAAGGAAGGGTCGACGACAACGGCAAGACGATGTCCACGTCGAGCCGGGAGGTCGACAGCGAATACACGGTCGATCCGACGGACGGTCGGTCCGTGAAGAAACGTAGCGACGACATCGAGAGGATCGGTGAGAAAAGCGCGTCGTATATCGGCGACTCGAAAGCGGAGAAGTCGAGCGTCGAGATCGGCGCGCGCTGCAACAAACCCGGCCAGTCCACGTGGGACGGCACGTTCGTCTACGAAAAGCCCGCCACCCCCAAAGGCAAAGCAGACGGGAAGGCGGCTCGCGATGACAAGGCCGACATCGTCGGCAAAACGGTCACCTCGAAGGTGCACGGTGACGGCTGGCGGGACAGCGAAAAGAGCGTTAAAGTCACCCAGGAGTCGTCGTCGTTGTCCTCCTCGTTCTCCGCCGAGGCGACGTCGGTTATCGATCAGGTCGTCTCGTCGAGCACGGCCGTGACTCGGGACTACAAGACCACGATGATCGACGAGGGTCGATCGTCGTCGACGACGAGCGATCGTCGCGATACCAGGTCGCGGCACCAGCTCGCCACGGACACGACGGACTTCGGCGACGAGCGGAGGAGGCACGTTGCGAGCGAGAAGTACGCGAAAGCGCCGGCTTCCGCGTGGGACGGCAGTTTCGTCGTGGAGAAAGCGGCGGAGGTGAAACGACGGCGAAACGATTCCGACAGCGACGTGTTCCTGCATCGTCGTCACGACGACGACGACGTCGTGGAGACGACGCAGCGAAGGGACTTCAAGGAGAAGAGCGTGGACGGTACGTACGAGAAGGAGTTGTCCGAGACGGCGCGCGTGGTGAAGGGTGGTGACAGCACGACGAGGTTCATCTCCGAGGAGCGGCACGACGTGAGTCGGGAGAGCAGGATCCACGTGGGCGACTCGAGCAAGGAGGAACGCACCGCTCGTGTACCCAGTCCGACTCGTCGGAGAGTCGGCAGGCCCGGCGATTCCGCGTGGAACGGCGAGTTCGTCTACGAAAGAACGCCGGACGATGGGAGGAAGAGGCCCTCGGACGTGACCGTGGTCCGACGAACGGAGAAACGCGATTCCGTCGACATTGAGGACGTCACCGAGGAGCAGAACATCTCGAACGTCTCCGAGTCGGTCTCGGCTTCTTACATCGTCGAGTACGCGAGCGCCAGCGACAGGAAGAACGTTGAGAAGGTGACGTCCGTGTCCGAGGTGATCGTGGAGGAAGACGGTCCTCCCGGCGAGGACAAGAGTACGCGTACAAGCCCCGAGAGGCAGCCCAAACCAAGACAAGACGTACCTCCTCGCTGCTACAAACCCGGCCAGTCCACGTGGGACGGCACCTTCGTCTACGAGCAGCCGAAGACACCCGACGACGCTCGTCGCAGACCGGAAGAGAGACGTACCGTCAAGACGGTCGATATCCGGGATGTCACGGAGGACAATTCGATCAACGAGGCGGACGTCACGAGCACCTCTTACATCGTCGAGCATTCGTCGAGTCAACAGAGTTTCTCGGACGTCCGAGACGCCAGTCTCTCGTCCACGATCTACGAGACGGTCATTTACGAGGGCCATCCCGTCGAGATGACGATCAGGATTGAGGAGGACGTTTCTCGGGGCAGAATCCCGACGACGGAACGTCAGACCAGTCCTACTGCGCGTCCCACAAGTCCCGAGAAGACACCCAAGGAGAGGGACCTCCGGGGCACGAAGCCCGGCTCGTCGACGTGGGACGGGACCTTCGTGCGGGAGAAACCGCAAGAGAAAAAGCGACCACCCAGCAGAGAATCCATCGATGATAGACCATCGGACTACAAACCACGTCCGGCTCACAGCCCGAAGACGTCTCCATCGGCGGATACGCCGAGGAAGCACGTCAGCGAGACCACTATCGATCTGCGGGATATCACGCGAGGCGTGTCCGGCACGTCGGAGATCCTGGAGAGCTCCGTCGTAATGGAGCAATCGAGGATGCACGAAAGTTACACGGACTCGAGCAACCTCGGCTATTCGACCACCTCGATGGAGGCTGTGATCGGCAGCGACGGGCAGCCGGTGACGACCACGCAAAAAAGCGTGACCGTTCAAGAGGGCCCTCGTAGCCCCGCGAAGAAGCCGCCCGGCGGTGACGTAATCACCACCGCTGACGTTAAAGAGAGTACTATTAAAAGCTCCGAGAAGAAGGAGTCTTATGTGGACGAGAGAAGTTACCGACCTACCAAGCCAGGTTCATCGACATGGGACGGCTCGTTCGTGCACGTGAAGCCGGAGGAGAAACTACCGGCCGACAGGAAGATACCGAAAGAAACGACCGGAGTCGCGGGTAAACCGAGCCCGTCCAGGGAAAGACCAACCGACATCACCGGTCATAGAACGTCCGTTACGATATTCGAGGACGCATCGAAGGACGTAACGAGCTCCGTCAAGCTCGAGCAAACGCTCGTCACCGACTCGAAGACGTACGACTCTTCCGAAATGTTCATCGAGGACATTAAGGAGGACATAACACGCTCGATCGATTACGACAAACCGAGACGGCCGTCCGACGAGAAACTGACACCGTCGCCTTGGAAGCGTCCGGAGGACCGCAAGGAAATCCCCGAAAAATCGCCGAGGAGTCCGGCGGACAGGACGCAGCGGCCGTTGAAGCCGGGCGCCTCCACCTGGGACGGATCTTTCGTTTACGAGAAACCGCAGGATCTGCGGAAGAAACCGACGACCGGAGAGCCGGTCGACGTGACGAGGAAACCGACGGACGATGGGAAGCCGATCAGTAAGGAGAAGGAACCGACCGAACGGAGAGAGGAGCCGGTCGTCCCGACACCGGTCCCCCGAAAACCGACGGACGACAAGAGACCGCAACAGCAGGACGTCACGGTGGTCAGATATATCGGAGATGTCGCGGATGTCTCGCGCACGTCCGAAGTGATGCAGCAATCCACTTACGTGGTCGATCAATCTTCGAGCTTCACTTCTGTGCAAGACGTCCGCGATGTTAGGGACGAGCGTGTCATCACTGAATTTACAACGGACACGCGCAAGGATGCGGTGAGTAATTCCGCGAGGTCTTCCATTGTTTCCTCTCTTCATCGTCCGCCCGTACCGGGAAATTGTTACTTAAGGTTCTCCGACTCATATCGTTCGGCGGAATAAACTTTCCGATGGAATAATATCCTTTCCCACATTATCGAGTGCATTATTTATAAAAGATAAATCGAAGCTAAATATATATATGACCGAATATGAAACATTTACACCGGCCGTCGACGTGCGTTCGGGCTGTCGGCAACTGACAGTAAGCAGACGTCGAGAGAGAGAGAGAGCAGGTACGGTAGACTTATAAAAATCTTACCGAGACACTTCCAGCTCGCAGTCCTTGCGGAAGAGACCCGAGCGATACTTTCACTTCCAAAGCGGGCGAAGGTCGTATATTCACATGCGTTGCGCCGTTGAAAATAAATCTGACGTAATACACCGCGGTTCTTGGAAGGACGGAGAAGGGTTTGAGCGGCGACGGGGAAAAAAACGGGAGACTCGTCGTTAACGAGCCCGCGTCTGGAAACGGGCGGGATCGCGTTCCTGATCGAATTTCTGCACGGCTGGAGATCGCGGATTCATCGGGACGCTGCAAAAACCCCATGCGAGAATCGATATCTCGCGTATGAAGAACGGTTTTAGGCGCAACGCGCGTCTCGCGTTATATCACGACCGTTCTCTGTACATCGCGCGTGATTGCGCGTAGAATTTAGTAATTTGCACACAACCCGTAATCTTTTCGGTCAATATAGTCGTCGGCGACTACGACGACGATAGCCTCTTACGATGAAAAATCTCGTCGCGATAACACTTCCTCCCGATTGAGAACGTGGACTTTGACGCTCGCTCGCTCGCGGAAGCCGCTTAATAGCCGCGTACAAATCAACAAATCAGGGAATTATCGCGTCGATTATTGTACCGAGATTAAATTAAAATCGACATCTCGCGTTGACGGAGCAATGACAGACTTAAACAGCCGTGTCAAGTATAAAGTCGATAGAAAAGCACGGTTAATTTGATTGCCGGTTGATTGAGTCGCGTCGAAGTTATTTACGAGGGAATATCTGCTCGTCGAGAATTCCTCACGGCATTCGGCGCGCTCTTACTTTCGGCTCGCGAGCAGGAGGTTCTACTAGTCGTCTCTAGCATGCGCCATGGGTGGGCGAGTGTAATCACCTGCAATCAGATTCAATCGGGCGTATGCAGAGTGATAATAATTACATCCGATACGAGTAAATTCCGTAGTGATGTCACTGTCCAACGTAGCCCGGCTTAATGCACGACCAATTGAATTTCACGCGTGTCCCCGCCTCGCTTATCGCGGTCGCCCTGTTAAGTGCTATAGAAATCTTAGTTAAGAGAAGTTAAGAGGTATATACGTGTGTGGCTATAGCCGCGCGCGCATACACAGACGTCATTGTGCATCACCGTGTCCGACAATAATGCGGTCGATAGTGTTAAATAAAATGACGATTTACCGCACTGCAGCGATTATATCGTTTTTCTCGTTTCACGATGATTTATTGCGCGCCGATATGTCGTAGATTTGAATATTGATGTCCTGTAATTATGCGTGATACCGACGATTTTCGCATTATGGTCGCGTCGCATCGGCTGTAAGTAACGTGTTTTCATAGAAATGCCGGATCGATATCGAACCGTGAAAATAAATGCCGCGGATTACACTTCGGACTCTCCGCTAGCGCGGTTGGCTCGGAACACTGCGAACATCAGCGTTTTCAGAACGCTGTAATTTCAAATTCCCAGTAGCTCGGTTTTAGGCTCGATGCTTTCGAACGATTTCCTCGGAAGAGATACTTCAATTCTCCTCAATTGGCAACTAATAATCTTATAACTGAGCAGCGTGAAATTTGCGACTTAATCTGAAGTTTAATAAGCCACTTCTTATATATTTTTGGTTACTAAACGCAAATCTGTGGGCGAAATGTCTGTGTAACGTCAGGACTTTGAGAAATCTGCTGTTAAAGTTGCTAAAAATCGCAATTTTAGCATTTTTCGATAATTAATAACTCAACTATGAAACGTGCTAGAAACTTCCGTTCCTAAGGTTTAGAAGGAAAGGTTGAAATTAATATTCTAGAAGATCAAAAATTATTCAGAAAAAGGCAGCTTAAAGATTATATTCATAGACAGTATAGATATGCTCTAGATCGAGTGTTAAGGAATGGGAATCGAGATGTATGAAAGAGTGCATTAGACACGCGCGTTGACACGCGAACGAGGGAGAACGCAAGAGGCATAAAACCGAGTGCATCTTCTTCCTCGACTCTCACCCCTCAAATAAAGGCAAACGATCTAGATAATCTCACGTTGAAATCTAAGTTGATGGTCAGCACGATACGTCAGTAACGTCCAAATATTACTGTTTTATCAAATTTGCACACGCCATACATTTTGTATCGTCCATTTTGAACTTCGAAGTTTCAAGTTTACGCTCGCACTCGGAGACCCCAAAACCCGCCAACTGCGCATTTCCCAATAGAAAAAAAATTTAATTCTATACGAAAGAAATCCGCATTAACCAGAAACGGAACATGCAGATGCTCGTTCTGGCTGAAGGGGACAGAATTTCTAGTTCTTATACCGTGTTTCCTGCCACCAAAATGCACCTGGTTCCCCTTCCGGCTAACGTTTTCCAACAATTTCCTACGATTTCACGTAACATTTTGTAAAACGTGCGTGGGCGTTAGAACTATCGTGTATCTTGCTCGTCTATTAGAGAGCCGAGGCGAATGCATCTCGCTCGTCAACGACAACAGTGAACTTCCCGAAGACGCGCGGAATAATCTGAAACTTCGCCCTGAGTTCGCGTTAGTACCTCAAATACCGCGATCGACGTACCGGAGTTCACGTCAACCGACGTCACCGCGAGAATATCCCGTCGCTCAAGGATACCGCGCATAATCCAAACCACGCCGGTAATTTGCGCGACGGTAGCGCGCGCGCGCGCGTGCGTGCACATTAAAAATAGACACATTCGCAATCTGTTCCGCGTTACGTGGATTATTGCGCGCTCTCTTATGACCGATTCGCACCGATTCTCGTTGCCGTGACTTTACCCCGAGGTCTCAAGATGATCGATAAAGCGCCTTGGCGAGCGCTTAACGCACGTGTTACTCGCGAATCTTACTTCATCCGTCGCTTATCAATGATATGCGCCCGGATATTTTCCGTAAATAAAGTTCTCGCTGTTGCTGCCGATGCGCGTGTTCACTGTGATTACGATCTCTCTCTCTCTCTCACTCTCTCTCAATGACGTCACTACAAGCAATTCGGAACAATCCATCTCGATAACAGGCGCGTTATACGGACGCTTCTGCTTGTTTTCGATTGTTCAACATGCAAACAGCTATATGTATGCAGAAAGATAGTTAGGGTGGAAAAAAGAGGAGGGGGGAGGGGGAGAGCTCGCCCTACTTGCATCGAGACACGATGATACGACGTTCGCGAACACGCGTGATCGCGTTTTCTCGTCGAATCTGCATTATTATTTTACGACGACGCAGGCGCGCGCGATGTCTCCTCATGTCAGATATTACGACATCGATAAATGTGATATTTTTTTAACGGCGCTCGGTCGTGTTTTGCCAATGCCGTTTCCAGACGGATGTTCCGCCAAATTTCGAGTGAAACAACACCGCACGGCGCGGCATTTGTACTTTCCTCTCTTTTTATTTGTCCCCGTGGAAAAGTTTACGAACACACGGGGTTGCACGGAAATGCATGGAAATTTAGCGAGCACCAAGTTGCACAAACGAGCTTCATTATGAGCGGTTCTCGATATTGCGAAGAAGGGGCAAATCAGCTTAAAGGCTCTCGCAGGCCTGCTTAACTGCTAATTAAATGCCAAAACTCCGGTGCGCTCACGCGAATTACCCTCAGGTGTTAAAAACGGAGGAAAGGATTTGACTAATAGTATCAGCGCGGGCGTTATTTGCTATCGAGTTGCCGCCGTTAAGTCGGCGAGCGAGCGTGCTCGCGAGGTATAATGAGCGGATTTAACGAGGCGAAAATAGACGCGCGCGAAATTTTTAAGCCGGTTCACGCGCGTCCCCACGTCGGGAAACGTCAGCATCCAAATGTGCAATTTCAACGTCAACAACGTCGTAATTAAGAATCGATCATTACAAGCGGAGAAAACGCGAGAGCCAAAAAAGAAGGAGAGAGAGAGAAAGATCTTCGATGAAAGATTCGACTTGGTTCGAAGAGACGATTCGCAATTTCGAAAGCAACCTTTACGAAACGGATCCTTCTGTGTGTAAATCCTTTGCCATCGATAGTATTACCTCTACACGGTCCGCCTCTATCTACCTGTTTCCAGAAGCGACGGCGGCGGTCCCACCAACGGCGAAACTATATATACATATATACATATATATCGCAAAAGTACGGTTCGACGGTTCGGCGAGCACGTTACACGATACGCTGTAAGCGTGCGCATAAAAGCCATACGCTCGCCGATCTCGCGTTACCTGCATTCCGTCGAACTAAGCACTACCACCGGCGCTCCTAATCTCGCTATGCCGGCGGCGGCGCTCATTATACAGCACGTTTGAAGCTCGTAATGAACGCCCGCGGAAAAACAGAGTCGCATTCACGAGTCGTTATTACGCCTTTAAGCCCGCGCAAAACGGTCCTATTTCAGGGCGTTTACGAGCGAGATTAGCCCGTCGATATAAACTCGCGAATCCCCGTGGTATATTTCTTTCTTTTCCCCCTTTTTGTCAAACGACCCTCGCGACATTGTGATCACTGAGCGGGCAAATCCGCGCGTGGCATTCAAATCCTCCGTGCGTCGCCGGTGGGCAAAGTAGCGTTAAACCTTTGCAGGTAGCAACGAGCGCATAAGTGGTCATTCATATTTAGCGGCTGCTTCTTAGCGACCCATAACGTAACACCGAACTGCGAATACTCGGTTATACCCTCGATTTCTCCATCCGCGTGTAAAACAGAGAATAAAGTTTATCGTTGCAGCACAATAGAATTCTGAATATCCGCAATTTGCATAATGATATATAATTTACCTGCGTGATTATGTTCAATGTTATGCTCCGTGTGACAATTAACCTCGCTGGTTCGCACCGCGCGTGAAAACGTTATTAGCAATAATTAACGAAACGATAATTTCGTCGCGGCTGTTGACCGTCATGAGGTATCGACCCGACGATATAGCGCTGTCGCGACGATTCGAAGGAGGAGGACACTGAGCCGAAGGATAATTCATTCGGTTTTCCTTCTCAGAGAGATGTCACCGAGTCAACGAAGGAATTTATCGATAAAGAGCAGGTGACTAGCATGGTAGCACGGGATGTCGTCGACGACACCCGATTCGATACCGTCACCGGCCACGTGCCCCGGACTTCGGCGGACTCCACGAGGAAACCGTCGCCGGAACGGCCCGGCTATCCCCGCGGAATCCCCGGACTCCGGGAAGACGACCGACCGAAACCGATCCCCGCCGCTGGGAAGCCTAGCCGACCTCCACGAGAACGCGAGAGGAGTCCGCAGAAACCGGCGGAACATGGCAGGTGAGCGAAGTTGCCGGGTCTTCCTTGACCCGAAAAAATCTGCAGGATCACGCAAAAAGTATAAAGCCGGCGGTTCGGTGCTGATTACAAAGTCGCACCGGAACAGCACGGCGATGTACTATCCAGAAAACAAAAATGTGTTATATACAATAATATAAAATTATTTATAATTGGATGCGATTTATATATGTGTGTATGCGTGAATCTCGTCTCTATATGGCTGCACATACAGTTATATGTAATTATACAACATATATATACGTATGATTATATATGTCCGCGCGAAATAAAAATACTGTTGGATAAAAAGCGGGAAAAATTGCTTGATTCAATTAAGTGTTTACATCGTGGGCAGCCATAAACGTAAACATTTACTTCAATTAAATTCGTACAACAGCACTTCTTATAGACACGGAACACGTATAATTATATATTACTATATACCGGCCACATAGAGGCAAAATTTCACATATAATCATTTCTTCCCGTATACTCAGACGCGACGTTGATTGTTCCGCAGACCTTCGGAAGTTCGACCGAAATCGCCCGAGAAGCTGCGGGATTTCCCGTTGCCGAGCAAGAAACCGCAACCGGCAGCTGGCAAGCCGAGTCGACCGGAGGAGAGACCCGTAGCGCCCAGAAGACCCGATGAGGAACCGAGCGGACCCACAAAAGCCACGGATCAGAGGCCAGCCGCGGGTAAACCCAGTCGACCCGCGGACAAGCCTCAGAAACCGAAGAAGCCCGAGCAGGCCGACAAGCCGGCAAAACGGGGAGATCAAACCCCAGACTCGCTCGAAGACGAAGACGTTCGCCCTGCGCCGATACCCGACATACTTTCGAAGATCCCTCTGAAGGAACAATGCATCTGCGAGCTCTGTACCTGCGGGTGAGTCCTCAACACGATCGTACCTTCTTTCCTTCTCTTACGGGTAAATGACAGTCGAACTCGAGGGACGTTCTACGTTGAATCAACCTTGAAACACCATACTTGACTATATCGCGCCCATTAATTTTCTCAAGCAAATAGCGTTTTTTGGGGATAAGAAAATTTCAGGCTTCTTTCAAAATTAAATTAAATCTCTCCCAAACGTCAATTCCGTAATTCCGACGACACAGGCCGCGTTCCTGACATCCCGGCATATAATATTTAAATACGTAATACGTTTCGAAATATCCACTTCTCCGGTAGTTATTAATAGTTGAAAGTGGTTAGCCGGGTGTCGTATATCCGGTATGGTGAAATCGGGACTCGCGGGAAGTGTGGTGTTCTCGAGTTCAAGATTGAGACGCTCGATCTGACCGGGATACCGCCTGGGCGCGTCGCAACACGTCCCTGTTGCAAAACTGACGATGAAGATATCGCGGAAGGCAACAATATCAAGTAATATAGCCCACGCGAGCACGATTCGATTCGATCCGTACGCTCGTCCGAGATGAGCACGGCTGACCTACTTCCGAACGCTATTAACGAGATCGGAATACAAAACCTGGCCGTAGCCGAGATGCAAATTGACGGGAAGAGCGGCAGATTGTCCTCAAGGCCATCTTTCGTGCTCTGTTTAATTCGCCCCGACGATCTATCCGCAGTCCGTTGCCGGAGGATTCGTTAAACACGAGTCTGTATCGCGCTGCTTCGACGTTTCGTCCCGAGATGCGAGAGCCAGCCGGCGGGAATATATTTATTTCACGTCAACTCGCTGATTAATGGCCGTCTTCGCCTCATTTCATCTCGAGCCGATGAAAAAAGGAATTACCGAAAGCTTAAGCAGAAAGATATTAACATGGGCGAAACGGTCGGAAATTTATTCGAGAGGAGAACGACATTGGCGGCTTTCTTTTTTTTAGGACGTTATACGCGCGTGTGCGTAGAGCGCGCGAAAGTAGGCCGCGAGACAGATCCTTTTACGGCAGGTTGTACCCGGCCCGATCGCAAATCATCGTGCGATTCCTTCCTTATTTGAGCGAACCTCGAGCCACGTCGATTGTGCGCGCGCGACGGATGACGGATCGTGTAGAAATTTACGATACAGCCTCGGTAATTGCATTTGGACACATCGTCAGCCGCGAAGGATATTCGTCGCCATCCTCCGGGGATGACGCCGGCTGATTATGTGGTACGAGATTAACGTCGCTGCATTGCAAACTTTTTGACGCGCAAATTCCTCTCAAGGTTCTCGCACGGGAACGAGGAAGGGAAAAAGATGAGAAAAATATCCGAGTATCTCGGGTAAACGCGCGCGGCAATCGATATCAACGCCTCGAAAGTTTCAGCAAAATGACTTTCTTTTTAATTAACTTTCAATATTCGTGACCTTCGCCAATGGCAGTAGCTATCGAGCCGCGCCACGTGTATGTGTGCATGCGTGCATGTGTACACGCGAATAAATCCGACACTATCGTCGGGTTAGAAATCCTGACCCGGATAGGATCGCGCACGGTGCAAAGAGATTCGACCGACCGGGGAGTAGCTGGTGGAAAATTAGCCGTTCCGCGGCCGCCTCGAGTAGTAATTGGCGGCTCGTTTTAGTTGCCGCGGCGATTAGTCGCCGGAAATTTCTACGTGAGTCCGAAATTTCTACTCCGACTCTCTTCGAGGGAGCTGCCGGTGTAACTTCTCTGCGGGCTTCATCGTCGGCTCTGGAGGGATGTTCGGCGCGTCACGTTGCACGCGTGGTTTTAGCCGATCGAAAATACACGATGACCTCCCCCCCCACGTCGTCCCCGATCGAGTCTGACTTTTACGGAGTTGTATTTCGCAATATCCCGCTGCGAAGAGGCAGAAGAGAAGGACGGCGAGAGGGTGGGAGAATGACAATGACTGAATCTCGATATCGCTCGATGCACGGCTGGAAGCAGGATGAAATCGCGTTCTCCAAATACGTCGAATCGCTCTGCATAAAATATTGGCAAGAGCGGGCCCGTTTCTTCTTCCCCGCCATCTACGGCGACCGATCGGCATCGTGAAACGTGAAAAGTATCGGCCGAAGTGACGCGTGTCGCTCGGAAAGGAGAGCCGGTCGGCTTTTCGTCGATTAATTCGATTAATTAATGTCGAGGGAGAACGTCATCTCGCGCGGCCGTTCGACAAGATCTCGAGAGGCGCATCAATTTGCAGATGAAGGGTATTGCGAAAAATTCGCGATATGGTCAGATTATGTAAGAACTCGATTGGTATTCCTGCGGCCGGGGGAACGTCTAATTAGCTCGAACAGGCAGAGATAACGATTCATCTTGCGTGAGAACGCGCTTCGTTAATACGCACGTTGCGTCGGTTTGGCTAACGAGATCTCTCCCTGTCGAGTCGCGCATGAATGAAAGATTTCTCAAGTGTTGCGCGACGAATGTTTCCAGCTCATCGACTTGAATCGGTTTAAGTGAATCAAATCCTCGTAATGTTGAACGTTACGATCGACGAGCTTTGTAATCCACCGACATTATCATACAACGCGCACTTAGAAGATTGTCTCTGTTAATTAACAACGCGTAATATATTACGGCTAATTGTACAAGATACTCTTCGGAACGGTGTGTGTGCGTCGAGCGAGCCTACCGCACCGTCGGGGAATTAATGAGTCTCGTTAAAAAAGAATGGCGCCTATAATGGAGCAAGTGGTTGCGTGACAATAACTGCCTAGAGAGAGACCGCAATTACACGAATCCGGCGTAGGTTTTTACGACGCAGATTGCGCTCCGCTTGTACGCGTGTTGTGTCCGGTCGTGCGCGGCAACGGCTCGCTGTGAACACCAGCTGTACAACTAACGAAGCATCGAGGATCACGACACAATCGGACGGACTTTCACGCTCACGATAAAAGGGACTCACGAGTCCTTCCGTGTGCAGCACTTTGAAACCGGCGATGTTTCCCGGTGCTATTTGCGCCGCATGCTCTATTTTTCTCCGGGCCGGAATGATCCCTCGCGAATGTTCTTCTTGTTCTTATATTATAATATTCAACAGGCGTGTGCGTATCGCCGATGTTCGCTCCGCCGTGATTGGAATTTGAATCCGTCGTGATCATTTCAGACGGCATCGTTGCCCGCACAACCTCCCCGACGAACACCTCGACATTTCGCACGACGAGTCGATGAGCGCGGTGAGCTCCTATCGGCAGGAGTACGACGAGAAACACGTGGAGAGGCAGACGAGATACTATCACGAGGACCAACTGCATGTAGGCGGCGAATTTATCGGGGAGAGGCGTGCCGATTACGTGGCTACCAAAGGCGAGAGAGCGCCCGTCAGGAAGCCGCAGGATCATCTCAAACCGGAGGGCGAATTCGTCAGGAGGCCGAAGGAGGAAGCGCCCGTGAGGGGCGAGAGGGCACCGGTGAAGAAACCGCAGGACAATCTGAAGCCGGAGGGCGAATTCGTCGGCAGACCTCGGGAGGAAGCGCCGAAGTTTGGCGAACGAGCGCCGGTCACCAAGCCGAAGGATACCTTGAAATTCGAAGGGGACTTCGACAGTAAGTCCCGACGCGTCGTTCGAATATAGTAATAATAATAATATAATAATAACTTCATTCGTGTGCGTCTCAATCCGTTCAATATATCGATGGATTCATTTTCTCCCGCAAGAAACTTCAAATTCAATCCGCTGGCTTTTAACAGTTTTTTTTACAGTTTCGAAATATATATCTTAGAACGAGTAATCTTTCGCAAAAACGATATCACGATGTGGATGACAGGAGGTTCCTTTATCGCTTTTCAGCTACCACGACGACCGAGCTGGTCTTTACCGGGGCTCCCGGCGAACGACCCAGCCCGATCCGCCGCAACACGTACACGAAGGTGGAGGGTGATTTCATTGACGAAACTACGACACGGTCCCAGTATGTTGATCATCGCACTGTTCAACGCGCCGAAATCGTCCGGCGAACGGATAACCTCACCGTGGGAGAGGGTGAATTCACGGTGGGTGGAGTGTCCGCGCAGATCGAAATGATAATCCTTGCTCTACGTGCTTCTTGTTAGCTTATCGTTTTTAAAAATTGTGTCTCAGGGTACCTCTCATATCAAGGAGGACTTCCAGACTCATGTTATCGAGCGTGAACCTCAATGGCGACCGAAATATCCTGAGGAGACCGATCGGTTCTATAGCAAAACCGATGTGATGGACAGTACCACCACCACTCAGGAACAATATCGAACCTTTGATCAGACGGATTACAGAAATACCACTGTAGTTAGGAGGGCGGACAATCTGAGACCCGAAGGACCCTTCGAGGCATCGCCTCACACGAAAGATGAATACATTGCACCGATATTATCACGTAGACCGGAACCACAGAAACCGAAAGATAATTTAAAACCCGAAGGACCATTCGAAGGACGACCTAAGGATGATTATAAACCAACGAGAGGCGAGCGAGCTGACGTTAAGCGTCCCGAGGATAATCTAAGACCGGAAGGACCGTTCGAAGGCCGACCTAAGGACGATTATAAGCCAACCAGAGGTGAACGTGCTGATGTTAAACGTCCCGAGGATAACTTACGTCCTGAAGGGCCATTCGTGGGGCGTCCTAAAGATGATTACAAGCCAACTAAAGGCGAGCGCGCTGATGTTAAACGTCCTGAAGATAATTTGAGACCAGAAGGACCATTTGAAGGACGTCCTAAGGATGATTATTCACCTAAACGCGGAGAACGTCCTGAGGTGAAACGCCCTGAAGACAACTTACGTCCTGAAGGACCGTTCGAAGGCCGACCTAAAGATGATTACAAGCCAACTCGGGGCGAACGTGCTGACGTCAAACGCCCTGAGGATAATTTGAGACCCGAAGGTCCATTCGAAGGACGTCCTAAGGATGATTATTCGCCTAAACGCGGAGAACGTCCTGAGGTGAAACGCCCTGAAGACAACTTACGTCCTGAAGGACCGTTCGAAGGCCGACCTAAAGATGATTACAAGCCAACTCGGGGCGAACGTGCTGACGTCAAACGCCCTGAGGATAATTTGAGACCCGAAGGTCCATTTGAGGGACGTCCTAAGGATGATTTCTCTCCGAAGAGAGCGGATCGCCCAGAAGTGAAACGGCCGCAGGATAACTTACGACCTGAGGGTGATTTTGTGGATCGTCCGAAAGATCGGTATACACCTGGAGAGAAACGTACACCGATTAGACATCCGGATAATTTATATCCTGAGGGTGATTTCGAAAGACCCGAACTGATACCTTATGGTCCCGGTGATAGAGCTGCCATTGTGCGTCACCCGGACAATCTGTTCCCGATTGGAGAATTTCCAGACAGGGAAGTCGAACCTTTCCGACCAGCTGAGCGAAGAACACCTATTAAACCCGATGATAACCTTCGTCCGGAAGGTGACTTCATAGGAAAGCCCAAAGACGATTACAGACCGACTAGAGGAGAACGCGCTGATGTCAAGAAACCGGAAGATAATTTGAGACCAGAAGGACCATTCGAAGGTCGGCCTAAGGATGATTACAGCCCTAAAAGAGCGGAGCGTCCAGAGGTGAAGAAACCGCAGGACAATCTAAAATCGGAAGGACCTTTCGAAGGACGGCCTAAGGATGATTTTAAACCAACTAAAGGAGATCGTGCAGACGTCCAGCGTCCGGAAGATAACTTGAGACCCGAGGGACCCTTCGAAGGACGTCCTAAAGACGATTATTCGCCTAAGCGTGCTGAGCGTCCCGAAGTAAAACGTCCGGAGGACAACTTACGACCAGAGGGTCCTTTCGAGGGACGCCCGAAGGATGACTACAAGCCGACTAAGGGAGACCGTGCGGATGTCAAGCGACCGGAAGATAACCTAAGACCGGAAGGGCCTTTCGAAGGACGTCCGAAAGACGATTACATGCCAAAGCGTGCCGAACGTCCCGAAGTGAAACGTCCAGAAGATAATCTACGTCCCGAAGGTGATTTCCAGAGGCCAGCGAAGGAGCCTGTTGGCCCGGCGGAGAGACGCACTCCGATTAAACATCCGGATAATCTGAGACCCGAAGGCGAATTCGAACGACCGGATCAAGAAGCTTATCGTCCGGCTGAGCGGCCAACAGTCAAGAAACCAGTAGATAATCTGAAACCAGAAGGCGAGTTTGAGAGACCTCGTCCTGAGAAATACTCCCCGGCGGAAAAACGAACGCCTGTGAAGCACCCGGATAATTTGAAACCGGAAGGAGAATTCATCGGCAAGCCCAAGGATTTCACACCCACCAAAGGCGATCGCGCGGATGTTAAACGGCCGGAAGACAACTTAAGACCGGAAGGACCTTTCGAAGGACGCCCGAAGGACGATTACTTGCCCAAACGTGCTGAACGTCCCGAAGTGAAGCGCCCGGAGGACAACTTACGGCCCGAGGGTCCATTCGAAGGACGCCCGAAGGATGACTTCTCGCCAAAGCGCGCCGAACGTCCTGAAGTAAAACGTCCGGAGGATAATCTACGTCCTGAAGGCGACTTCGAAAGACCGGAGAAGGCGCCTATTGGACCAGCGGAGAGACGCAGTCCGATTAAACATCCAGATAACCTCAAGCCGGAAGGTGAATTCGTTGGCAGACCGAAAGAAGATTTCACACCTACCAAAGGTGATCGCGCGGACGTTAAGAGACCGGAAGACAATCTGAGACCAGAGGGGCCATTCGAGGGCAGGCCGAAGGATGACTATCGACCGGTGCGTGGAGAACGCGTTGACATCGTTAAACGCACGGACAATTTGCGTATGGAAGGAGATATCGAGACGTACAGATCCAGAGATGAATACACCGACTTCCTGATACGCGAGAGAAGCGAAATCACGCGGTACGAAGACAACTTACGTATGGAGGGTGAATTCATCGATACGAGAACACGAGACGATTACAAAGTCGTTAAAGGCGAACGCATGGACGTTATTAAGCATCTTGACAATTTGAAGCCGGAAGGTCCATTCGAAGGCCGTCCGAAGGACGATTACTCGCCCAAGAGAGCCGAGAGACCGGAGATCAAGAAGCCGGAAGATAATCTGAAACCGGAAGGTGACTTCGTACGTCGACCAAAAGAGGAAGCTCCCAAAAAGGGCGAGAGAGCCGATGTTAAGAAGCCGAAGGATAATTTACGTCCGGAAGGCGACTTCGAGAGGCCGGAGAAGAAACCAATTGGTCCAGCGGAGAGGCGTTCTCCGATTAAACATGCGGACAATCTGAAACCGGAGGGTGAGTTTGAAAGACCGAGACCTGAAGAATTCAAGCCTGCCGAAAGACCTGTCGTGAAGAAACCGCACGATAACTTGAAGCCAGAAGGTGAGTTCGTCTCGAGACCGAAGGAAGAAGCGCCGAAGAGAGGCGATCGAGCTGACGTGAAGAAGCCCAAAGACAATCTTCGTCCCGAAGGCGACTTCGAGAGGCCGGAAAAGGCGCCTATTGGACCGGCGGAGAGACGCAGTCCGATTAAACATCCGGATAATTTGAAGCCCGAAGGCGATTTCGAACGACCTTATCAAGAAACTTACCGTCCGGCTGAAAGACCAGAAGTTAAGAAACCAGTAGACAATTTGAAACCAGAAGGTGAGTTCGTCTCGAGGCCGAAAGATGAAGCGCCGCAGAGAGGCGATCGAGCTGACGTGAAGAAACCCAAAGACAATTTACGTCCCGAAGGCGATTTCGAGAGACCGGAAAAGGCGCCTGTTGCACCAGCGGAGAGACGCAGTCCGATTAAACATCCGGATAATCTCAAGCCAGAAGGTGAATTCATCGGCAGACCGAAAGAAGATTTCACGCCCACCAAAGGTGATCGCGCGGACGTTAAGAGACCGGAAGATAATCTGCGACCGGAGGGGCCATTCGAAGGCCGGCCGAAGGATGACTATCAACCGGTGCGTGGAGAACGCGTCGACGTTATCAAACGCACCGATAACTTGCGCATGGAGGGAGATATCGAGACGTATAGATCCAGAGATGAATATACCGACTTCCTGATACGCGAGAGAAGCGAAATCACGCGGTACGAAGACAATTTACGTATGGAGGGTGAATTCATCGATACGAGAACACGAGACGATTACAAAGTCGTTAAAGGCGAACGCATGGACGTTATTAAGCATCTTGACAATTTGAAGCCGGAAGGTCCATTCGAAGGCCGTCCGAAGGACGATTACTCGCCCAAGAGAGCCGAGAGACCGGAGATCAAGAAGCCGGAAGATAATCTGAAACCGGAAGGTGACTTCGTACGTCGGCCCAAGGAGGAAGCGCCTAAAAAGGGCGAGAGAGCCGATGTTAAAAAACCGAAGGATAATTTACGTCCGGAAGGCGACTTCGAGAGGCCGGAGAGGAAACCAATCGGTCCCGCGGAGAGGCGTTCTCCGATTAAACACGCGGATAATCTCAAACCGGAGGGTGAGTTCGAGAGACCGAGGCCTGAAGAATTCAAGCCCGCGGAGAGACCGGTCGTGAAGAAACCGCACGATAACCTGAAACCGGAAGGTGAGTTCGTCTCCAGACCGAAGGAAGAGGCGCCGAGGAAGGGTGACAGAGCCGACGTGAAGAAGCCTAAAGATAATCTCAAGCCCGAAGGTGACTTCGAGAGGCCGGAGAAGGCGCCGATCGGTCCCGCCGAGCGGCGTTCTCCGATCAAACATCCGGATAATTTGAGACCGGAAGGTGACTTCGAGCGGCCGAGGCACGAAGAGTACCACCCGGCAGAGAGACTTCGAGTGAAGAAGCCGACGGATAATCTCAAGCCAGAAGGCGAGTTCGAGCGACCGCAGCCGAAGAAGATCAAACCAGCCGAGAAGAGGACTCCGATCAAACATCCAGATAACTTGAAACCAGAAGGCGACTTCGTCGGCCGTCCGCGGGAAGACGCGCCTCAGCGCGGAGAACGAGCCGATGTCAGAAAGCCGCAGGACAATCTGCGGCCGGAAGGTGACTTCGAAAGGCCGGAGAAGAAAGCAGTCGGTCCAGGGGAAAGGAGAACTCCGATCAGGCACGCGGATAACTTGAAGCCGGAAGGCGATTTTGTGGGCAAGCCTAAAGAAGAGGCTCCGAAGAGGGGAGATAGAGCTGACGTGAAGAGACCGGCGGATAATCTCAAGCCCGAAGGAGACTTCGAGAGGCCCGAGAAAGCTCCGATCGGGCCGGCGGAAAGACGTTCTCCGATCAAACATCCCGATAACTTGCGACCTGAGGGTGAATTCGCGACTCGTCCGAGGAAAGAGACGCCGCTGAAGGGCGACAGGGTGGACGTGACGAAACCGAAGGACAACTTACGACCGGAGGGTGAATTCGAGAGGCCTCAGAAGTCGCCGATCGGCCCGGCGGAACGGCGCACGCCCATCCGACACGAAGACAACCTATATCCGGAGGGCGAGTTCGTCGGACGGCCGAAGGACGATTTTGTTCCGAAGCGTGCCGACCGGCCGGTTCAGAAGAAGCCTAAGGACAACTTGAAGCCGGAGGGTGAGTTCGTAGGGAAGCCCAAGGACGATTACAAGCCGACCAGAGGAGAGAGAACGGAGCTCGTGGTGCATCGGGACAATCTGAGGATGGAAGGCGACATTGACGTCTACCGATCTCGCGACGACTACACGGCGACGACGAGGCGCGAGCGCGTGGATATCGTTCTCCGCGAGGATAACCTGAAGATCGAGGGCGAATTCATCGATATCAATCGACGGGATGATTACCACGTCACCCGCGGCGAACGTAGCGAGATCGTCAGACGCGAGGACAACCTTCGTCCGGAGGGCGACTTCGAGCGTCCGGAGAAGTCGCCGGTCGGTCCCGCGGAAAGGAGATCTCCCATCAAGCATCCCGACAACTTGAAGCCGGAAGGTGACTTCGTGCAACGACCGAAGGAGCTCGCGCCTGTCAAGGGTGACCGAGCGGTCGTGAAAAAGCCGCGTGACAACCTGAAACCCGAGGGCGACTTCGAGAGACCGACGAAGTCGCCCGTTGGCCCCGGCGAGCGACGATCGCCCATCAAGCATCCGGACAATCTTCATCCGGAGGGCGATTTCATCGGCAGACCGAAGAAGGACACGCCGCTGCGGGGTGACCGAGCGGACGTGAGGAAGCCGAAGGACAACCTTCGTCCCGAGGGAGAATTCGCGAAGCGCACGCCGAAGAAGGTGGAGCCGGCCGAGCGGAGGACTCCGATCAAGCACGAGGACAACCTGCATCCCGAGGGAGACTTCTACATGGCGCCTAAGGACGACTTCACTCCGAAGTGGGGAGATCGCTCACCGGCCAAGAGGCCTCAGGACAATCTCCGTCCCGAGGGTGAAATGGAAGTATCGCCCTCCTCGAAGGACGATTACAAGCACGTAAACGGAGAACGTGTGGAAGTGCGTCGTCACGAGGACCACCTGCGCATGGAGGGGCAAATGGACGTTCGTCGTTCGCGAGACGATTACAAGAAGATCACGAGGACGGAGAGGGTGGACGTGAAGAAGCGCGAGGACAACCTCAGGATGGAGGGCGAATTCATCGACGTGCGTCGCAAGGACGATTACGTGCACGTTGTCCGCGTCCCGATCAGGAGGCATCCGGACAACCTGCGCCCGGAGGGAGACTTCGACACGCCCCAGAAGACGGTGGTCGGCCCCGGGGAGAGGAGGTCGCCGATCAAACATCCGGACAACCTGAAGCCGGAGGGCGATTTCGAGCGCAGAACACCGGACAAGATCGGCCCGGGCGAGCGGCGATCGCCGATACGTCACGCCGACAATCTGAAGCCGGAAGGCGACTTCGTCGGCCGTGCTCGCGACGATTTCACCGGCAGGCGAGCGGAGAGGAGCGAGATCGTGAGGAGGGAGGATAATCTGAGGATGACGGGCGATTTCGAGGGTACGACGTCGCACAAGTCGACCTACACGGTCGTGCGTGGCGAGCGCGCGGACGTCAAATCACACGAGGACAACCTGAGAATCAGCAGCGGCGCCATGGAGACGAAGACCACCAGCAAGGACGCGTATACACCGTCGAGACGCGAGGTGTCTCCCACCGGTAAAACGGTGAACCGTCGCAGGCACATGGAATCGTCGATCACGCTCGGCGACGACACCGCCGTGATGACCACGACGAATCAGCGTAACTACAACACGTACACGAAGCGCGCAGGGAAGGACGTAGCGGCGAAGATGAGCAAGATGGAGTCCGACAGCAGGAAGACCACGGAGTCGCAGACTCTCGCGGACGGAACGGTCGTGACGACCGTGAGACGGACGACGACTTCCGCTCAGTCCGATAATCAGAGAGTCACTAACGCCCAGACTAACGTCAGTCATCAGCACGTTACCGAGCGGCGCGCGATCCAACCGATCGACGGTCCCACGGACTCGCGAAAGACGAGCGAGCAGCATCACTCGCGATCCTCGCAGAACCTCGCGCAGACACGTCGAACGCTCGAGGACAGGTCGATCACGGAGGCGCAGAGTCACCGTGGACAGATCCTGCGGGAGGACACGTCTCGTTACGCGGTCGACGCCACGCACGGCGAGCATCATCACCACCGGCAGCAACACCAGCAGCACGTCGAGCGTCACCAGCAGGAAGCGAGCAAACGCGACTACGTGAACACGCAGCACATGGAGAGCCGGCAGAGCGTCACGAGGTCCTCCGCGAAGCAACACGAGCAACACACGCAGCACTCCAGTCAGGTACGATACCACACGACGCAATCGAGCAGCCCGGAATTCCGGCAAGCGATCAACGGGCAAACGACGGGTGGGGAACGATCGCAGGTGGACTCGGCCGCGAGGGTCAGTCATCATCGGAAGAACGTGATATCCTCCTCGGCGGCGGACGTGAGCAACGCCGTGCTCCACCGACGCGGCGTCGCCTCCTCCACCGAGGCGCTGCACACGATCTCGTCGACGGCGGCGGATCAGCGCAAGAGCATCTCCAACCTGGCCGAGAGCGGCCAGTACATCAGCAACTCCAGCCAGAGCAGCGACAGACGGAGTCTGACCTCGCTGCACCGCAGCGCGAAGGATGTCAATCCCTGGGCGGCTTCCAGTTACGAACGCCCGCAGAGAATCGTGCGGCAGGACAACCTGACGGTCGGCGGGAAATTCTACTCGCAGAGCGAGGCCAAGAACTACGGCAACTTCTCGAGCACTCAGAGAGTTGAGAGGGTTCACAGGCAGAGCAACGTGTCCAACATTAATCTGGGCGAAGGCGGTACCGCCACTTCCAGCATGTACAAGAAGGAATTTGTGCCCAGGCACCGAGGACCCTGTCCGGCCGCTCTGTTGGAGGCCAAACCGGCGCCCTTCAAGCACACCAGAGACACGCCGAAGCACAAGTTCTATTTACCCGTCATATCCAACTGAGTCGAATCGCACGAGTTCGACCTTCTCCGATGTGGTTTTTTTTTTTTTTTTTTAAAATNATTGAAGTCGCGGATTTTGCGTGTGCACGCGGAAAGCAGATTAACGTAAATTGATTTATCGGGATTGAATATAACTGTATCTTATATACATCGACCGTCGGGGATGAAGTTGCGTTGAAAAGTAGAAAAGTAGAAAATTTACGCATATCTCGCGTAGTGAAGTTCACTTCCGAGGTGTTCGGACATTTCCATGACTGATGATCTGAGAGTAAAAGTTGTCTCGAATAATGCGGGCTGTGATGAACTCGCACTATTGGAAAGTTAATTTACGTCGCAACCGTTGAAACGTCACTGTGGGCAAACGGGATCGTGAATGCATAATCGTTTTTAAATTGCAACGTCAACGAATGAGATTTCATTTATCGTGATAAATGGCTCCTCAGAGCAATATTAAATACATAATCTATTGAGAAATATATATATACATATACATATATAATTAATGTATACCAGCGATATACGCTGTCCCCTTTTAGGATGCGATCGCAAGCGAAAGTATAATAATTACATGGTCGATAATTACTAACTTTTATCTGCCGGCGAGCGGATAGCTGCCCATTATGGATTCCTTTCTTCTTGAAACACGTGTATACAAAGCAATAACTAGAGCTTAAATCCGTGATACGGTCGAATCTAATCGAACATTAGTTTCGTCCAATAATTAGAACGTAGTACATGCAATCATATTATTCTATTTCGCTGACACCATCATATAAGGTTTTTATATGACAATGAGTTCTTCGCGCTTACGTTTTATTTAATTTTCAGCTTATTTTATCGTTACGCATATAATCTAGCGTTATATTCCACACAAAAAAATATATATATATATTTCCAGCAATATATTAAACGAAGGTCGCACGACACATTTTCCCCTTTATGTTTTTCCGTTAATTAACGCCCGTTATGAATTATTTACTGGATGTTGGTTTATTTACTTTATTTACTGAACATTTATTTTAATCGAATAAAATCGTTCCGCAATAATTTGTTGAGTTTTATGTTTTGTTACCTTCATCTTTATTTTATTAATGCACCCACGCGAAAACGTTGTACACACGATAGAAAATTACTCGATGTTATTATTTGCTGCCCGCACAGTATAACGTTCATGTACATATCGATGTATAGTTATGTATATCACCGAAGTTAATTAATTAACAAAGAGACTATAAATAGATCTAGTTGAAAGTGACTATAGAAGTTCAGCTGAAAGCGATTATAAATTAATGGTTTATCTATTTATACTCTTGAGATCTATTTCACCGAAACGATTGAACTCTTTAAGTAATTAGGTAATTTGAGACGAAGGATCTGCCGTTAAAACACGATCCGGAGAAGGTAAAGTAAGGTTGTACATATGTAACGTAGGATGACAATCGGATCCTGTTAATAGATATTGTCGGCACGGCCATGGGCAATTCACAAATAATGTGAATGGATGAAGCTTCACAGGCCGTTGCTGACGCGAAAAGAGATCTCAGTTATGTTCCTAATTTCCTTTGAAACTCGGCTGCATGGAGACAATAACGACTCTGGTGCGTATGCTAGATTTTACGCGCCGTAGAGATATACTAAAAGAATAAATACGAGAGACATCGGGAAAAGAGAGTTATTTTCTAACTATATTTTTACGAAATGACGAAATACATAACAGTGTTTAAAGTAACTGTGTCCGAAGTAATAACAACTGCGAATAGTTAAGACGATCGAACGAACGTTTGATAGCGCGAAGTTACCATAATTTGTGCAATAACGTTGTTATTACTCGTGTATCGATATCATTGCTGTTACGTGGATATATAAATAGATATTAGACAAGAGAACATAGCATAGGACGTGCATACGATTGTATAGTCAGTGGCAAGAAAACGTCAGCGGCAACACTTTTCAATTCGACGAGCTTCAAAACACAGGGTGGCGCACCGTGAGGTGGTGAATATGCGAGGATATGTCCTCCACGGAGAATAAATTCCCGCGAAATTATTTTTTACTCTGTTTATTTCTAATATCGTGCAATTAACAAAGATTTTATTCGCGAAACAAATAGTAGGTAGTATCGTACGCCACCCTGTAAATAAAAGTGATCGTCCCTGCAACTTTCATTCTCTATTCTTTCCATTTCAAAACGTATCGAGAAGAAACGGCCTCGCATCTTTCTCACTGCCGACTGTACACATCGATAAACGGCGTAATAAAGAGTATGGTATTTTATATCTTCGGAATTTCCTCGACACACACACACACACACATACACACAGAGGAAGAGTCTCACGTTCACGCGCACTTGCTCTGTGAAATTTTTAGGAAGAGCGCGGCTCTGCGCGATCACGAGAAAAAATTCATCCAATTTCTTGTAAGTCTCACACACACATACACGGCGAGTCTAGATCGAATGATCGAGAATAAAAGAAATTATTTTGCGTATTACGCACACGGAGTTCTCTCTCTCTCTCTCTCTCTCTCTCAAGTTTCGCCCAAAGTTTGCTTTAGTCTAAAGGAAGATCGACAGATCGACATGTTTGATCGGTAAATTCCTCGCGACCTTCGCGCTCTAGGTCAGGCGCGAGAGAGGAGTGTCGTACAAACGGCGATAACCCGACTAACAAGTGGAAATCTCACGCCACTTGCCGGACTTCGGGAACACTCAGAAGCGCACAAGGTGAGGCGCGCGCGTGTAACGCGATTTGCAATAGAGACATCAGCGATTAACATCTATACATGTCCGATCGATGAAACGTGACCGACGCGTTTCGCTGTTTCCGTGTAAACACGCGAGCGTGTGCGGCGAGTGTGTTTACACACACACACACATATATATTAATTACCGATGCTAACGACACGTAAGCGCGAAAGCAAGATGGTCCGAAGCTGCGGGTACCGTTACTACCTGTTTCTCCGAGCACCTCTCGCTCTTTCAGTCTCTCCTTCCGCCAGTCGCAGTCACGCTCCCGGCGTCAAGAGAGAGGAAGAGAAGAGCATGGTCCAGCGTCCGTGAACGACCAACCGACGTCTCCCACCGTTTCGCTTCACCCTCTCGTGTGTTTTTTACAAAGCCGCACGTCGCAGGACGAAGAACCCCCCGAGCGATGTGGCTCTGATCCGCGCGCCTCCGAAAATTTTCCATCGCGCTGTTGATTTCACTCCGGACCACTTTCGTGTCTCTTGCAAAAATTATAGGCTACCGCTCTTTCTCTTTCTCCCTGTCTCTAATTACTCGACCGCTCGAATTCGCTCGGCGGCGAACTTTCGATGTAACCATGATCGGAGGGAACGTTTTATCTCGGCGACGAGAGTCGTAAAACTTTCTATGCGCGATCGCATCGGGCGCGCAAGCGAATCGTGACGAGCGTTACCTTCAAGTGCCGCTCTTGCGGAATTTTTGATGTTCGCTGCGTTACGCGAGCGGACATCAAATGTCGATAATAGCGCGCATCATTTTAGAGAATACCCGAGCCTAACGGTATCGAACCACGCATCCTGCGCGTATTTTTCAGCGCATTAGCAACGCTAGTTCCAGTCTTCGAATTGCAGCGGACGTTTCCCGAGCGCGATTTGTTGTTGTTGAACAGCGCGGTAGTATCTGACTCTATTTATCGCCGACTTCGTAATGCGTGGAGCGTTCAATTAAAGTAGCGCGGAACCGTTACCGCCGTTTCTTCTGCCCGATACGTTTCATTGCTGTTACATAAATAATTAAGTAAAGCTCGGCGATCTAGTTACGCGCGAGTCGAACGATTAAAATGCCGGCCTATTAACCGCTAATCGACGTCGGGCGTAATTACGCGGCGCGTCCGCGGTGTGGCACGATTCTAAGGAAGCGGTTCGAGATCGTCGACCTCTTTTCCCGGCCTTTTGCGACCTCCGAACACGCATATGCAAATATACGCATATGCGTCGTAATTCAAAATAAACGGAAAGACGAAAAAATCAAGAAAATCGATCGGAAGGACGGTGTCGTTTTAATGCGCGCGCGTTTACAGTAAACATATCGAATATCGAGGTTATGAGGATATGTCGCAGCTCCAGTGGAAATTTTGATTCCTTATTAACCCTGCGAATTCCATCGAACTTGAAGAGTCAATGGAGAATTTCGGGTTATAATATTATTATAGATAGTCATTTCCTTTGTATTGAATAGTCCTTAAAGGGCTAATCAAAATTATTGAATTTTTGATTACTATTATCTCTCTCGATTAATGTTATTTCAACATTTTACCTGCGCTTCATTTATTATTAATTACAATGAACAATGCAATTTATTAATTATGCGACTTATTTAACTGCGAGTAGGATATGTGAAATGAGGAAATATTAAATAATTAATATGAGCAAATGATGAGTAAAAAAAAAACAAATTGTATCCTCGTAATCTCTCTTTTTCTTTATTTGGCGTTGGAAGTCTCGATGGGATCGTAGCTCTTAAAAAAGCTGATAAGGAAGAAGTTGTGAAGGCAAAGATAACAGTTATGTGCCCAATAATGCTATCTATCGATGGAGATTTAAATTTAGATTCGGTACAATAACAAGGCTAAACAGAAATAAAAAAGAAGACGTTGGCAGATATCAAGGTGAGATTCGTGACTCAAAAAGCATCAACGTAAAAAAACTTACGAAATTTACATTTTATTCTACGACCGGTGTTCATAGTTGGAAATTATTTTTTTATTACAACCTATTATATCTATTACTTTTATTATTATTTTTTATCACAATCTTTTATTATAATCTAATACTTTTATTATTATTTTTTATTATAATCTATTATATTGAGAGCAGTGTTAATTATAAATTTGTCTTTAAGAACCGTTATTCGGCTGTTTGGATCAACGGTTTTTGTTGTATGTTATTACTCCAATGACGAAAGATTATGAATGTGTCAGCCTAGGTATCGACTTGGGTATCTCTCTGTTCTCGGTAAGTTTGTTAAAATCGAAAATTTCCTATGTAACAAACAATTTGACATACCTGGAAATATATGATATATCGCTGT